GACAGATGTTACCAGACTTACCATAGAAGTCACACACTCCAAGTACGCCAGTAGGCTTCAAGAGTGCAGGCAGCGCGTCGATGACACTGTAGTAGTCTGCATCGTATGAGTACCAGTCTCTAATATGCCACTAAGCGCACGAACCTGGGATCATAGACAAGCTATAGCTCATTGTTGCCAAGTCGGCACCGGCGCTGTTCTCGTTACGGGGATCGATCTTGTCATCCTCCGGCAAACGGAATGAGCGAGCATCCTGGCAGACAACGTGGACGTTCTTCCATCCCAGCCTTTCAAAGCGCTGGCGGGCCACCTCACAGAGCGAAGGCGATAGATCGACCAGATAAACGCGGGAGAAGAACTCCTTGACGGGAAGGAAGGTAGACATGGCTTCGATGTTGTATCTAAGGGTGGTTAGGGTCTCGTCAGGATGTTGTGTCTTCGAAAGTGCTCACCCAGTGCCTCCGCCAATCTATACTGTTAGCCAGTACTCACTCGGTAAGATTGCATAGATGATACTTACATCAACCCAGACAGCCTTGCCAGACTGAAGCTGCTTGTTCTCGACCTTGTGCTTTAGTTGGGCTGCAACCAGACCCAGCATATCCTCTCGACCGCGCAACAAACGCTTGCGAGTGGCATCGTAGACGCCAGCCTATGTCCAGTTTTGTCAGCCAATGGAACTAGGCAGTCAACTGGCGGTTGTCTGGCATACCTGCGTCTTGTAGAAGCTCTCGAGAGCATCCTGTTGGCCATTTCCGTGCTTCTCGTGGGGTTTGAGGAATGTCGCGTATGCGAACTTGAGATAGGTGAAGACACCGCTATTGTAGTCAATTTTGCGCTTCTGCGACGACAATATCATGACCACTGCGACGAACGCGCAGACCGCGAACGCAGTTCCAGCAATGTAAACATGTAGCCAGTTCAATTGGCCCCAAAAGGGACCGGTTATACTGCTGGAAAACATGAGGGCGCAAAGGGGTGTAACTGGATAGAGTTGAAGCCTCCTGTCGTAGGAAGGACAGATGAGAGGCAGATCTCCTGCCTCGAGAATTGCGAGGACGGGCGGCTTCTTGAATCAGTTGCTCTGCAGCACCAACAGAGCAATGCGGGAGAAGTTGGCCACATCTTTGGGATGCACGCCCCACTTGCGACAGCCCCTCCTGGTCCGAGTTGAATTTAAAAAGACATGAGCGCAGCGCGATGCCCTATCAGGGGGACACATGGTCCGGGGATGATAAGCTGCATTGGCTGTCCGTGGTAAAAGAGTAAATGGCTCGCGGGAAGAGGTGGAGGAAGGATCTCCGGGTGGTTCTTGGAGACCAGCTGGCACCGAATTGCAGTAGGAGACACTCGTTAGCAGAGGATGAAGAGGAGAGTTGCAGAGCTTGTATGGATGCATCTGCGTATAGTTCGGGTAGGCCAATCAAGGGTGCATGTGCCCGCACGCCGTGGGCTCTCGGAGCCACTCGCCTCCAATGAATCCCGCACGCCAGCCCCAGGCACCCTGATCTTCCAACTTATTGGTACAGGCCCCGATCAACGGTCAACACCCATCCATCGTCTTCCCAATAATAGCAGTCATAACAGGAGGTTGTATCGGGCAGATCCTCGATGCAGACGCACTGCCGTCAATTCCTCCCTCCCTTCATTCCTCCATCCCTCCTTTTCGTCGCTGGTCAGGTACTAGGGCGATCCCGGATCCTGGGAGAGGCACATGTCTGATAAACTTCGTACACCCACGGGCAGCTAGTGAACTCCAGTATAGCATGAAAGTATAAATTTTCCAAAACTACCCGGCCTGACAAAGGAGTTACAGGCTGGTCTGCGACTCTCCACACTGCTGCGTACTCGCCCGGTCCATGCACGTACGCATGCCCCCTCGCCGCCACCTGAAGTCTGCGTACATGTTACCCCTCCTTGCAACCGCGATAGCCGAGGGCTTTATGTCGTTCAGCTTAGACAGGTAGACTTATTTCTGTTGTATCGGATTACTTAACCCAGTTCGTCACTGGCGCGAAGGATGTTCGGACTTTATGTCCCCCAGGATAGACTCGAGTCGTAGCAGAGTGAGACTCATGAATGGATGTGTATTCAACCCTGGACTCATCGTTCTTTCATCGATTGCATCATCGACTGTAGGAAAGAATCCCATCGTCGTGAACAATGTACACAATCAGTAGATAATGAATCGTAGTTGATAATACTCGTGCGAAAGCAGAGGAAGTATGAAGATTCGCTGCATGGTCGCCATAATGGTATGGGTAGAGACTAAGAAGTGATGAGAGTGCGAAGACTAAGGTTAATTAAAAGACTTATGTAATATGGCCTTAAGGTAAGGTAGTCCTGGCCTTGATGCCCAGGCATTGATTATGGTGCACGTTATATATACGCATTGGTCTATCGAAGCTAAAAGGGGAGATAACATTATCCAAGACACCGTATTGTTCCCTGTAAACGAACGATAAAGTACCTCCTACATATGTAGGAGACGTGGCTTTTTCAGAGCTGATCCATTCGTTGAGTGTCTGATCAAGAAATGTATTTTGGAAGTCTGCTCTAATAGTACTGCTCAAGGACACTAAACTAGGACTGAAACTTCTAACACTGAGAGCGGTTAATAAACGCTGTTGTTATTATTAGCCTCCTATCAGCTCATGATGTTTCACAGAATCAAATTGCCATCGCAAGAATCAACATTATGAGCACATAGTGATCATAATCCTCGGTGCCGACTTGATGGAATCCTATCAATATTTTCTCTTAGCGCTGAGGCACTGCATACCTATACCTAAGTTCTTATAATGTAGGGCTTTCTCCCGGCCTGCATGAACCTGAGTGCCAGTTGCCGCCGCGAAATCAGATTTTAGAACCACTATTTTGTTAACCTTGCTACCTTGGAGATCGACAACATGTACTGGTAGGCTCTGGGAGACTCACCGTTAGCGCCTACAGATGATCCGCTCCCTTTGTAGTGGGCCACCGCAAGCGCCGGTTCCCACTTTTGTCATACGGATCCGCTGAGACAAGCGCTCGATATGATTCTCAAGAATGCTATTGGGCTAGTGAAGCAGCCGGTAAAAATATCCGGCCCACTAAGTAGTGCGTCCTTTCTTGGTAGTTCCAACTATGTATAGCAACGATGCATATTGGCAATCGCCACGAGCCTATAGACAGGTGTCGTTAGTCGCAAAATGCAGTATCTCTGGAAGGGTTTGTCAAATCAGCTGGTAACATGTCAGGCGATGGCTAGCCTCGGCGCGTATACATCAGTCGATGCGCACGTCGGTTGTTTCGTTCAGACTATGCACTGCCCTATGGCGGCAATTGAGCATGAATGTGAGCCAACGAAATAGTCCTAAATCTGGACCATCGTGAGCTGAACTCAAGGCTGAAGCGCCGTGCTGGCGTGCTGTACAGAATTCATCCTTGTCTTCAGCTTCATTGGTCTTGGGAGAAGGCTGAGCTGACGCGGTGCAGCGCCAACCCTCTCAAGGTTGCAGGCCTCGAACAGTACCTACGGCGCTACAATATGAAAGGGAAAGCAAATCGTCCTCAGGATCAGGCTATTAAAGTCAGCTACCATCCGGCCGATTCGAGGGTCATCCATTGGCACTCACACAGCTTCAAACCTCTGTCTTCTCAATTATCATCTACACTTCCGTATTTCTGCAGGCAGAACATAACCCTATATCCACAATGAAGCCAGACGTCACTACAACCGTGGTTTCGCACCCCGAAACCTTCGACATCGGCCTCAGCCCAACCGGGGACGCTGGCAGTGCCTTCCATACCCAGAACGACCCCTCCGCCCCCTATCAGCGCGAAAACTACATCGAGCGCAAGACCGCCGTTGACATTCGCTGCTCCTGCGTCGACGTTGTCCATGGGCTACTCAGCCCGGACGGTAGTTCGTATGCAACCCTCATCGTTCTGCAGCTGCGGTTCGACCCACGCAAGCGTGCCCGTCGCATTTCCCAAGTCGATGTCGAGCTTCAATTCTCTGGGTCTGAGCCCGGTGCAGCAGACCCAGAAGTCTATGCCATTGCTCCCAATGAGCACCTCAGTGTCTCCCGCACTACTCAGACTGAAACAACCTCCACTGAGGGCTCACTGACCTTTGGTGCGGGAACTGTCGTCAGCAACTTTGTCGATGCAAGCAGTACGGTGAAGTACGGGCATGACATTAGCCGCGAGTTGAGCTATGCTGCGACAGTCGTTGGGTCGATTGATCTGCGAGGCCGGAATTACGGGAAGGCCAATTGTGCCTCGTGGACGTTGATTGAGAATCCCGCGACGAAGACGGGAGTTCCCGCTGCCATGAGGGCAGCCATATTGCTGAAAAGAAAGGACGAAGGGAAGTTCCAGGCCAATGTCTCCATTCGGGCAAAAGCGGACTGGAAGACGCAACTTGAGTGGCTGGTTGGGTCGACAAGAGCAGATGATCCCGTTCTATTCGATCCGACGTTGAGTCCCACTAGTGACAAGTACGATGATATGGAGTTGAAGATGGGTGATATTGATCTCAACGGCATCTCGGAGATTGTGGTAGAAAGCGGAAAGACCATGGCCTAGATATGGGAAGTCGCTGTACGTTATAATGCTTTTGTCTGCTGCTACTATATGCCATGTTCAGGATGTTAGTTGTCCATTATCCAATATATTATATTCTTTGGCTTGTCTTTCCAAGCCATAACAACCAGTCAAGGCGCTGGAATAAGCAGACGGAATATATACTTTTGAACTTGTGGCTTGGAGCCATTCCGATATTCAAAGTGAATGCGCTTGGAAATCACCGCACTGCTGCTTGTCACATCTTGGGTCACAGTGCAATGAAGGTTATTACCAGAATTCGTCTCTGCGCCTCTGGGATGTGCAATGTTCTTCCACAAGCATCACCTGTATAACTAAAGCGCGAATATAAAAGGGGTACTGTCTCAGCTTCTGTAAAAGTCAAGCTATATACTAGAGTCAGCATTGATAACAGCTACAACTGAAACACCATGCAGCACCTACCAACAGAGATTCTCGGAATGATAGGGAAGTTCATCGCCTTGGACATAGATGAGGATTGCGAAAGGATACGGAGATCGACCTTGCTTGCTTTGACTCTGTGCTGTCAGAAATTCCACAGGATATTCGAACCATTACTCTATTACCATCTTGACCTGGGCTATGCCCACTCCCTCACCGGCGCTCATATCCATCTTATTATTCGCTTCTGGAGATATCCTGAGGTAGCAGATTGGGTTCGCAGCCTCAGACTTTACTGGGATAGTAACGAGCCTATCCCTATTTATAAAGCCAGTCATGAGGATATTGAGAGATTTGTATACTTGGTGCCTCTAGCACTAAACAAGATTTTCACGCCAATCGATCGGTTTCAAGGCAAGTGGAAGAACGCCCTATATGAATTCAAGACGGAGGCTTGGATAGGACTCCTGTTTGCTAAATTGACGCACCTGGAGCGCATTGAATTTGATCAAGGAAACTCACCTCTGTTTACCACTCTTTTATACAAAGCTGCGAAGCGGGAGCAACCTTTTCATGAAGCCCCACCATTTCCCTTCCTCCGAGAAGTCATCGCCTACTGTCGAGATAAAGGTGACGGGGTCGACGAGCATTTCCTAACACCGTTTCTCTATTTCCCAAGTGTCCAGTCCATCACAGGCTATGCAATTTGTGCAGATGATAGCAGTGATGAAGAGGAGGAAATTGATTCTGGCATTCATGGGTCTCGCCTCTCAGCTGGTCCTGTTAAACAGATCTCATTAGACGAAGTCTGGGGGTGCACCGGGATGCTCAAGTGGCTCAAAGTGTGCAAAGAATTGGAACATTTCTCAATCGAGGCCTCACTTCACCCAGACATGGAGGATATTGAAAAACTCCTTGATACTCGAAAACTTTATCAGGCTCTTCTTCCATTCAAAGATACCCTCAAATCTCTCAGCGTGACATATGATAAGGAATACAATACTTGTCTTTACATGAATGGGGGAATCGGGGTTTGTGAGGATAACATCCCGTTTGAATCCTTTCGAGAATTCTCTGCCCTTGAGCATTTGACTATTCGGCATGCCCACCTCGTATCGATTTTTTCGCACGCTGCTGTAAAGAAACCCAGCATTGGTCGGCTTGTTGATAGGCTTCCGAGCTCCCTGCAAACTCTTTCTGTCCAAGACGTTCTCCCCGATAATAGTGGTCTGCTGACGGAACTCTTAATGGTTGTTCAAGATCGAAGTTTGTTTCCTCACTTGAAGAGTTTGGAACTCAGGGACAAGCCTCTGGATTCGCCTGTATCAGATGATGAAACGATACCGGATGGAACAACAGTGGTTGGGGCAGCAGCGGGACTGAATATGGCTCTCGTAAAAGAAGAAGCCGACAGAGAATATGCGGATACAGAAAGGTTGAGGCGGGAATGTGAGGCTAGAGGCATCGACATGCAATGGTTCATGGAAGGAATGTCGGACAGCGAAGACGAGGGTGAAGTACATAATGCAGGACATTAAGCCAAAGCTATCGTTACTCAATGCACACCTGCCTAAAACGGCAAGCGTCCTGATCGGATCAGTCTGGTTCCTGGTTGATGATTTGGACATCGAAGTCTTGAAAAGTCATTCAATGTTATAGTTCGCAGTGGAGTCTCATAGAGTATTAAGAGTATCTTCTGCACCGGTCACCAGGCCGAAATGCTGCAATGCACTAGCACCCACTGAGGCAACATATCCATCTTCCTGCGAGAAATTTCCCTAGTAGATGATCACGACTTATAAGCAGTATATAGTGCTCAATCGCCACGGGCTGACTTGATGTTGCGTGACTCTATAGACGAACACCAATCTCTCACTTTTCCTGCTCTAACTCCCACTAACCACCTCGTGGCACACACGGTAGATGCGCTTCAATTGTCGAAGATAGGGTGTTGAAAACTTAAAAAACATCTTCCAGCCAGCAGAATACTAACCAGTGAGAATCCGCTATGATATTGACAAATGAAATGACATATACTAAAAGCAACTAGGTTTGGGCTTGAAGGAGACAAGGCACATACTAGGAAATGCATTAGTAGATTAGCGATAGTTGCCCTTTGGGTGTAGCATTCTTGATGATCAAGCTTTTCTCTGCAATCATACTGTTCGTTTGTTAAGCATTTGCCAAATTCGACGGTTGCAAATTCCTCCAACTGAACTTTTTTAGTACGCCCAAAAATTCTCCATATTTGCTCCAACGCCCTCACAGTCCCAGAGCCTTTTTGTATCAAATGAAGATAAACCGTAAATGTCCATACTCAATAGTCGCAATGACCACAGTACCCGCATTCTTTATCGCAAGCTGTGAAGTCTCTTGGGGACTCGGAGCCATATCCATAATCGTAAATCTCAAGCCGCGGGTAATGACTGTCGCTAGGACTCAACCATACCGAAGGCTCCTCGTCAGACTGTCTTAGTTAGCAGGTGTCATATAACGGTTTGGGGGCATTACCTCTTCATTAGGGACACTCTGGATCACGCTAGTATTCTGATGACTCCAGTCACCTTCATATTTCTCATTCGCATGCAATGATTCTTCAAGAAAGTCTGCACTGGGGAAAGAATCCAAGACTCTCCGGACATGACAACCGTGCTTTGATACCCAATCAACCCCACTGCCAGAATCAAGAATCCTAGTCATAATCTGCTTTAACCTGTCCCGACCTGAAACCCTTCGTCTCGTAGTTAGCTTACTTTCTTTCATTGCAGGTATAACTAAGGCTTCTACTTCCGCGACATTGACTTCATCGTCGACAGAAGAGTCAAAACAACCACAGAGGAATACGATCATGTTGGAACTGGTAAGTCCAGAAATCCAACAGGATTCAAGCTCAAGCCCGAGATCAAACTTTTGATTGAGCCAGTCAAGACATAGTAGGGATAGGAGATGGTTCGACCTAAGAGATATCCGGTCTGGCGGAAGTAGGAACCTCAGCACACTTTTCAAGGCCAAATTGTCTGGTTCGGCAGCTGGAGGGATCATTTCAAATGACTTTACATCCGGTATCTTTGCAGAGGTATCCTAAAACTTCTTTTCAATGATCTGATATGCCCTGTTAGCTGAGATGGCTGACCTCAAGTGATCTTGCTATAGGGTCATGTTGTTTTTCAACAGATGCTTCGCCTTGGCTTAAATCAGCCTTATATTCTGAACTCTCGTTCCCTAAACTTAGTTCCTTCGATTGATGCTCTTTCGTTCGAAGAGCTAGATCAATATCTCGGGATGGTCGTGCGAGGTTGACCCGCCAATGATGCGAAATAGTAGGATTCCTCTGGTAAAGATTGACTTCATAAAACTTGTTGTGTTTTTCACATCTGAAGTTCTTGTACCTTCATGATCTTAACGATATCTTGTTCGAACTTTTGATCGTCATCACGTACGAATTCAGTTTTTCAAAGTTCCAATCAAGTAAATCTCCTTCGGCAACTTCCACGAACTGGGAGCCAGTCCCCGCTGGCGCGAAATATCTGATGGACTCCTGTGGCCCAAAGTTGACCTGCCTCACAAGCTGAACTGCATAAGGAACGGTGTCGGCCCGTACTGAGGCCAAGTCCAGAGTGGGAGAGGATGCAAGCTTGGTCCACTGCATGAATGCCTCGAATTTGTCCTCGTGATCAAGCTTCTGTGGGCGGTACGGATGTATAGAGGGGCAGCAGAATATCGAACTCATTATGACGATAAATACGTATTGGAATGGACAAGCTAAGGAGTTCTTCACACAAGTCCAATCTTCCTGAAGGTGAAGTTCAGATAGTGTAGGTGCTGGTGGCGACTCTATCAGCGAGGGGCATAAAGATGCCTCGTATTTATTCTCGTATTCCTGGGGATATGTGTATGGTATTGTCAAAATGAATACTGATCAGCTATTTAAAAGCTCGAAGACCGTCTTGTGATTTATGACAGAAATAACAGGAATGAAATGTTTGGAACGTTATAAGTCGCCCCCTGTTGGCCATTTGGCGCCTTCTCAAATTGCCCTTATTACTCCGTACATCACCACGAAACACATCACCTGAGCCAATAGCTCTGGAAAATGAATGGCTAATATTCTTCGTCAGGGCCGAAATTCTGTTGCTATGGCTTGGATATAAACATATCTATGTACTGTACTGTACGTCGTACTGAACGTGGCTTGTCGTCAAGGCGAACCATAATATCTGCATGTGATGATAATGAGCAAAGACTCCCCTTTACTCAGGAATGCGCACAACAGCCCGTCCCTCAATCTCAGATCGCCCCAGTCGCTGCAGGACATCATCGATGCAGTCGAATTCAAAGCACTCAATATGTGCTGTCACATCGCCTTTTACAGCCATCTCCATCAACTCTTCCATCTCCTTGGCGGTTCCGGCGGAGTTGCCAACAATTGTTAGTCCTGTTTCATGTCAGCATCTGATCGTGAACGATTGGGCTGGAAGAAGACAGTGATGAAGATAGAACACCTTTCACAATCATCTCAAATGGCGTCGCCGGTAACCTAAACGGCACACTTGGTATACCGACGCATACCAAAACACCCAAGCTGCGAAGCATGTTTATACTCTGTGTGTATGCTGGCTCATTATTGGCTGTGCAGATGACAGCATGCGCACCTAGCCCTGAGGTCAAAGCCTTCACTTCACGCTCTACGTCGTCTGTTTTGTAGTCTAGGAAGGCGTGGGCTCCTAGGGAAAGGCACAGCTGCTTTTTCTTCTCGCCGCTATGCTGGGTAAGCTTCGAACAATGCGATGATACTGGCACCATACCTGTCGATTGCAATGACTTTGAGTCCCTTTTTAGCAGCAATCTGAACACCCCTTGTAGGCCGTCAGCTCTATCTGTCAGGAAGTAACAGCTGCAGATGCACATACATATGTCCTAGGCCTCCACCTGCTCCAGGAAGCACAATCCAATCTTCGGGTCGAGTTTTGGTCTTCATGATCGAGGAGTACATGGCGATGCCCGCTGCGGTGAGATTAGCTTAGATATTTCGAAATACCAGGCGACCAGTTGTACACACCGCACAAGAGTGGTGCAGCTACGTCCGGTGCTAACTCAGGGGGGATTATAGTTGCATGAATCGCAGGACTGACGACGTATTCTGAAATCCAAACACTGGTCAGTAAGCAGGTCCAGAGCCGAAAGATTAACGATACTCACGTTGAAATGTCCCTGGGACATTCTGCACCTAATTAGCAAACCACACTAACAAGGCCTAATAGTATCTTCCTACCGCTCCGGCATTCTTTTGATACGGACACGCCGTATTATTGATAGCGCAAATCTCACACTCCAAACAGGAGCTATACAGCCATCTGCATAAACATTCAATTAATATCTGTCTCTGTATACCAACAGCCATACGAACCGTATACCAACCCTTCGCCCCATCCACGTTTGCTCGTCAAGACCACCGCCCACTATACGCATAACAGGTCAGGTATGGACAAATGCTATCAAGGCGATTGCATGAGACACTTACCTTTCACCACCTTTCCCACTCCTTCATGACCCGCTACATCCGTTAACATGGGGGTTTCCCCGCGCACGCTGTGGACATCCGAATGGCATACTCCGGAGTACTCTAGCTTGACTAGGACCTCTCCCTCAGTAGGTACAGGAATCGAACGGTCATTTATAATCTGTAATCTGGAAGTGGCATTTGCCCCAGAAGGTGGGAGAACAGCTGCGATTTGGGTTTGAGGAATAGCCATGTTGTATGTAGTAGTAAGTGAAGTGGTTGCGGAGATGCGGAGAGATGCTGGTGGGATGTTGCGGGGTAAATATACTGCTTCACATTAGTAAAGATTATCAAAGCCAACTGACCGTTACAGACCAAGACGCTGAAGAGGCGAAGCTGGTTCGCATCCGAGGAGTCTAACTTACCTCTTGTGCAAATCAGATAGGACTCACAGGTATGAATGTTTATTTCCTCATCGTGCAAGATTATCTATCCGGAGGCTAATCCGAACCTATAGTTAACTACTATCGGGACTGATACGCGCCTGGTGAGCGATAGGCTCGGAGTTGATAAGGAGATTAGAAATTGGAGATTGAAGTGTTGCTATCTACTCTCCGCCAGTCGCTTTGCGATATGATCAAACCCTGCTTTGCTGGGCGTTCTTCGTGGCTCATTCTTCTGTTCAAACGGGTTAGTCGTGAAAATCATGTCTACGAGCTAAGTATGGAGACAGATCAGAGTGCCCATATGATTGGAAAGACCAAAATATATTTAAACTTCTTCTGTTTTAAATTCCGCTAAAATGATACTTTCGATATACACCTGGGAGCATCTCTTAATATCCTTTGGCTAAAGTCTTCACATCTCTGCACCAAAGTTGGAGGAATCCTGCAACTTCATCCTAATCACAACATAAGAGCGGCGTAAATCATTGCTGTAGAATACATCCAGTCATTTCAAATAATTATGATATTATACTAAGTGTGAAGGTTTCGATATCAAAAAGGTATACTGTATAAACGACATGAGCCCTGAACAGAGTTGCAAGAGAAAAGAGGATGTAAAAGTGGGGATAAGTGAAAGACACCAAGGAAGAACGAGAAAGCGTTCAGGAAGCAGCCGATCCCTACCACCTGGAAGCGAGAACATATATCCGAAGAAATCTATAAGATGGTACAATAACACTGTCGCTCATGCATTTTCAGACTGTAGAGTTTGCTGTGGATAACTGGTCAGCACTTATCCAGGGTGAAGCAAAGGAGCTTGAGGTTGCACATACCACCAGCCAATCCATGCCTTCGTTAAGACCTTTGCCATCGATAGCAGAGCATGCGACGATGCTCCAGTGTCTATCCCGGAGCTCTCCCAGCTTGAGAGCCTCTGATATCTCGCCGGCACCTTTGGCGCCAGGCTGGTCCTGCTTATTGGCAAATACCAACAGCGCCGCATCACTAAGCTCCTCCTCGTTCAGCATGGCCGCTAGTTCGTCGGCAGCCGTACTGAGACGTTCAATATCTGTGGAATCAATGACGAATATGACAGCAGCGGTGTTCGCATAGTAGCAGCGCCAGTAGGGCCGAATGGACGTTTGACCTCCGAGATCCTGCACGACAGCGGTACGTCAGTAAACTCAGTTACTCTTTCCTTGCCAAAGGGCAACCATATTTATCTTGCAGTGTTGACTCACCCAGACATTGAAATTCAGGTTGCGATACGTCACCGATTCGACGTTGAAACCAATGGTTGGTATCGTAGTAACAACTTCACCAATCTATTCCTGGCACATCAATAACGGCCTCTAGCTGACAATCGAGCAGCTCCGCAAGACTATACGCACCTTGAGTCTGTATAGAAGGGTTGTTTTTCCGGCGTTATCCTAGAGATGGGAGCGCGGGTTAGTATGAAGCTCGCTAGTAGCTGGATGCCTAGTGCCAAAACATGGATATACCTACCAGACCGAGGATGAGGATGCGAATCTCCTTCTTCGTCCAGAGGAAGGACCACATACGAGACAAGGAGCCTCCCATGTTGACAGTTTTTGACAGCGACAGGAGCAGAGTAACACTTGGACAGAGGGGGGGCCGCGGAGTTGGACAAGAGAATGACGGACTAGCGAGAGATATTGCGGAGGGAGGGTCGGGCGTCGAGCGGTGGCGGAGAGGATGCGGCGAACACGAAAAGGACTCGCTCCAAGCAGAGAGCACCAGCCGAGGGGATGTTAGGAGATGTAGCAGGTCAACGAAGGGTCGATTTAACGGAACTGAATAAAACACAGCTTGACACGAGACAAGGCCACGATCAAGAGCTGACTAAATGGCATGGAGGGATGGTTGGTGGCCATCATTGGCCCGCGGTCTCCTGCCGATCGGCCTGGCCCAAGCTCAAATCAACTAAGGATGGGCTTGGATGGGGATGCGGTTCACTACCGCTCGCTCGCCGGTGTTGGTTTCCCATCATTCACATTGTCGTCGGATTCCTGCCTCTCCTTCCCTTTCTCCCAGCCACGACACCTTTCGCTCCATCATCCCTCTTCCTCTTCCCCACGCGCCACCTCACCGTTGGGATGCACCTGATCTGAATCCGAATCTACTCCTTCCGACATCCTTCGCGATCCGCTCGCGATTTGATCCGGTCAACTTTCTCTCACTCACACCCTACTCAGAGATTACCGGCTGCCGGTCCAGCAACACATCATGGTCGGCAAGAAGTCGGGAAAGGCTCTCCTTCGGGATGAAGGTACATATTCAGCGGTCCAATAAGCGATTATGCCTTCTCTGCTAACACACCTGCTCAGGCCTGGAGCGGACCGATAACAATATGGAACTCTCGAGCTGGCCGCAGGTTCCTCCTATCAATCAGAAGAACTACTACACGTACGTCGCTATACCTCCATCTTTGATACGCAGTTGTGTTACTACTCTGCTTGCGCCCTCTATCCGCCCACCTTCAACGCTGACAATCATTTCCTTCATAGAGACTATCTGAAGCGCGATGACCAGTACCTGGCGTTCAGACTACAGAATGAGGAGAATCGAAATCGGATGGCAAAAACGGCCAAGGACCGCGATCGTGCCCTAGCCATGGCAAAGGCCAACGACCTAGGGCTGCCAGAAGCAGATGCGGAAGATGGCGATACCAACATGGAAGATGCGGAGGACACTGCTACGGAAACAGTAGGCTCAAAGGTTATTGTTATCCACGTGGGTAGTCAAAACCTGCGAATTGGACTGGCCAGTGATGCTTTGCCTAAGACTGTGCCAATGGTGATTGCGCGAAAGGCTGCTTCCAGCGAGTCCGAAGACCAAGAGGAACCTTGTCCCAAGCGGCTGAAACTGGACGATGGCTCAACCATGGACCCGGAGAAGATGTTTGGCCCTGAGGTTTGTTTCTCGCCTACTCTAGCTCATTGTATTGGCTTCTAACCCGTCACAGTTTGCTTCCCAGTATACGACGATGTCAGCGGAGCTCAAAACCCACATGCGACAGAACAAGCGTCGAACACTGCCAAACTCCAAGGAAATGGTCGTCAACTTCAACCGGAGGACCGTGCCAGAGACTATTTCAGAACACAACGACCCCATGCGCGTGGAATGGACCGAGATCCCTGACCCGGCACCCGAATACATCGTGGGACAAGCGGCCCTGAGGATACCCGATGATTCGAAGCCTCGCTATAAGCTTTACTGGCCAATAAGGCATGGCTGGTGCAATGAGCGAGATTATGATAATAAGCGGCTTCTCTTCCTTGACATCTCCCTCATCTTGGAGGATGCCTTCAAGACCCAACTGGGACTCACCAGCAAAAAGGATTGGCCTCAGTACTCCTGCGTCTTCGTTATCCCTGATATCTACGAAAAGTCTTATGTCACCCAAGTACTCGAGTTGCTCATGAGAGAGTTCGCCTTTGCACGCGTCTGCTTCATCCAGGAAAGTCTGGCAGCTACGTTCGGCGCCGGATTCACCTCGGCTTGCGTCGTCGACATTGGCGCCCAAAAGACATCCATATGTTGCGTCGAGGAAGGCATGTGCATTGAGAACTCTCGCGTGAACCTGAAGTATGGCGGGTTGGATATTACTGAAGTGTTCATAAAAATGATGCTTTACGACAACTTCCCCTACTCAGATATCAACCTCTGGCGCCGATACGACTACCTGTTGGCAGAAGAGCTGAAAAGGAACGTTTGCACCATGAATGAAGCGAGTGTGTCGGTGCAAGTTTTCGATTTCCATCTCCGCGTTGCTGGTCAGGATACCCGGAAGTACTCTTTCAAGGCTTACGACGAGGTTCATCTGGCGCCGATGGGCTACTTCCAGCCGACCATTTTCGATCACTCGCAGAAGCTCAAGGGACGCAGAAAGCTGATTGCCCGCTCGGTGGATATCTACGACGGACAACCTAATGACCCGACATCGGCCGCCCAATCACTTATTCTTTCCAGCATCGCTCCCCCTCCCACTAACGGCCAGGTGAACGGTGATGCACAGTCGAACAACGTGGACGTTCAGGCTACCCCCAGCCGTGCCCAGCAGTTCAATGCCCTTAGTCGCGTGCAAGAGCTTGAAGCAACTCCACGATCTTCAGTTGCTGGCTCCCCTGCACCGGAAGCAGTCGGTACACCTCAGGCCGGCGCTGCTACCCCTGCCCCGAGCGGGCAAGGCCAGAGCACGTCGCAGCCCCGTGGGCCCACTGTTGAAGAGAGGGACGACATTCTCCCCGTATACCCTCTGGACAATGCGATCTTGACCTCTATCGCTCAGGCAGCTCGATCGGATGAGCGTAAAATGCGAGACTTCCTCGGCGGTATCATGGTGGTTGGAGGTGGAAGCTTGGTCAATGGATTCCACTCGTTCCTAGAGGAGCGTCTACAGGCTCTGCGACCAGCTTTCGCTAAGGAGATCATGATTGGCACACCGCCGCGAGACCTTGATCCGCAAGTTGTTGTCTGGAAGGGAGCGAGTGTCTTCGGCAAGTTAAGCGGAACGAATGACAGCTGGATCGGCCAGCTGGAATACGACCGACTGGGGCATAGGCTCATGGCATACAAGTGCATGTGGGCTTACTGATCTTCTGCCTTTCCAAGAGGGCTATGGCTATTCCTGATCTGAAAGGTGGTGTTGGTATGACACGGGAACCCTGACACAATTTTGTAACTCTATTGAATTTTGAGCTAGCTTTCTGTTTGATCCACACATATCCTGCAGCCTAGAGTTACAGGCATCAAATACGAATAATGACAAGTGAATGGAACATTCTGTAGTATGGTACAAGATTCACGCCAACTTTTAGACTGCAATCCAACTATAACTGCCTGCATGCTCGGAGCATCCTTTCTCCGAACCTTCATTCACGTTGACTCACGCTAACTTTGCTTGTCAGGCGGTAAAATACTGCAGAAATGAGCCGGCCACCCCCATGTAAGTTTATCCTGCATCTCGATGCTCGCAACCGTGCATACTGTTTGTCGGTGCTCACTGACTGCGTTATCGCCTCCTTAAGCTCCCAGGGAGTTTATAGTAACTCGTCGGCCCCGGAGAACTCCTGGTTATCTTGTGCCTACCTCTGAAATCCCCCCGCTTACCCTCCCAGAGCCACGTAAGTTTCAACGAGCTGTCGCCGCGCGCGCAAGTTGGGAGCTCCACTAAAGTGTGTTACAGTGTACAGTTCACCTTCCTCTGACGACGCTGAACCAAAGGAATTGGTGCTCTCCGAGTTCCGAGCGAGCATGTCGAAATCCAAGGACAGCAGCTCCTCCGGGGGCTTTCACCAGGAGTACATTGCTTCTCTCCGCTACCGAAATGACCTGCCTCCTCCGGATATGCCCCCGAAGTTCCTCGATATCCCACATGAGGGCTTGGACCGTTTCTTGACCCCGGGATTCGCCTCCAATTTGGCTCGTCGCGAGGAACCTAACATTGATGTTGACGCGGAAGGTGGTATGCCAATCGACTTGGTCGGTATTCCCGGGCTTCACTTGGGTGATGAGAGCGGTATGTATTTCGGCTTGCAAGATCTGATCTTAATTAAATTGGCGGCTGACAATTGTTGGAAATCCAGCGATTATGGCCCCTGAGAACCCGGAACCCATTGACCAGGCTGATTTGGCGCTATTGATGACGCCGGAGCAGCTGAAGAACCCGGCACCGAAGAATACCAACGTCAGTTTCCTTCGCCGTACGCAGTATATTTCCGCCGGTCTTCGGGCGCCTGATGGCCCCAAGGTCGCTCCCATCCGGACGAAGCGCGGGATGGACAAGACCAAGTCGCAAGATGACCCGACCTACATCAAGAAATACCTCCAGAAAGGTTTCGATATTGCGTATCCTCACAGCAAGCACGTCGGTGAAGATACAGCTAGCAAGATTAAAGGCCACACTCCTACGAAGCTTGAACACGATGCATGGGCCCACCCAGTGCACCCTGATAACCCTAAGCTGAAGCCTGTCGGATTCTATCCGCTCCTCCCCGATCTGGAAGGATTCCCGGACCCGGGTGGTTTTGTCCAATTCAAGTTTGACAAGGCGCCTGTTCAGGATGTTTCAGGGAAGAGAGACAAGCGCATGGATGTGGCCATATTGCTTCCATCGGCACCAGAGGAACGCGTTTGCCAAGAGCACAACACGAAGGCTGCCTTGTATAAGACGAACCCCAACCTGTACCCTGACCCAGGTCCTATCCCATGGGATTACGATCTCTATCTGCCTGAGAAGAAGGATGCGGCCAAGAATGTTTTAGCAAGTCTGCGCATCACCAACCCGGACCGCGATAATGAGGCGCTGTACACTCATGATGGAGCCGACAATACCAAGTTCCACCGCTTCGACCGTGTCCGCACTTACGCTACGAGCGCTCAGACTTTGGGCAACGATCAGAAGCAAAAGGACATCGCGTTGACGCTCTTTGACCCGGAGGAAGTGAAGGATGGAAAGCGCGACGGTCTCGACTCAAGGCAAAGGGCTGCGTACTACTATCCCATTCTCGGAAAGACCCGTCTCAAGCCTGAGAGAGCCCGCACCATCGCCCAGGCTGGTCTGGCACCTACCCGTCCGAAGACCAAGGAGGATCAGGTCGATCAGATCCAAGTGGTGGTGCGCGATCCCGACGAGGCAGAAGTCTACAAGCGCTCTCTGCACAGGGCCGCCATTGACCCGAAGTTTGCCGAGTCGATGCCTCCACCCCCTGAGAACCCGGAGAACGATGCCGAACCAGCCAAGCATGAGGAAGATGAAGGCGAGCACGACGTCGACCGTCAGGTCTCGCCTGAAGACGCGCACGACGATGCTGGCAATGATAGCGACGAGTAACTGGCTCGGCCTTCTATCATATTGCATCCTCTAGGCGCAATGACGGCGGCAGGCATGCCTTCCTGAGTGTAACTTTTGCCTATGCATTACAGTTTACATACCCTTTCATTTGTCATTATGCTAATGTTCCTTGGACTTGTTCACATTGCATGGCCGTCTCCGAAAGGGGTCCGCGCTGCCAGTCGCATTGATGGGCTGGTTGGCAGGTATCGGAGTCGAGGCAGCAAAAGGCGTTGTGTGGCATGATCATCTGGAGTTACGTAGCGAGAGTTTGGTTTTCTTTCATTGTTGCGGCCGTGCAAATGCACAGAAACAGGCTGCCCGGGCGATTGATGTACATCCCGTAAATACTAGTCAACAATCTATGATCCTGCACGAAGAACATGCTCCATTTGTCTGTCTTAGTTTCTACGCTACACCGCCCGGCTTTTGGTTCTGCCGGCTAAACACTTGACCGCCTCGGGACGTTGACGCAAAAGAACCGGATATTCAAGACGCTCGCAGCAACGTCCGTCCACTCCGGCAGCTTTGTCTTTGCTCGACCTGGCGGCGTAATTGCGGCATCTGTGGCTGCTATTTCGCTAGTTCGGTGGAATTGACCTGCAATTGACTGACATTGAATGGTGAGTCGCTGCCATGATCGATCGAATCGGCTGTTCTTCGGCATAGCAATTATAGCAAGACATAGTCTTGACGAGCACATACTAGTGCTTCTCCAAGACCCAATTGCGATTGACTACCTACATACTATGCATCCTTTCAAACACATCTAAACTAACACCTTCCTAGGTCAATCACCCTACCCCTCACAATCACCCTCACTAGACTCCACCCCACCACAATGGCTACCAACGCAGTGGCTCTGGCCTGGAGATCCGCAGGCCGCAGAGCACCTGCACTTCACACTCTCCGCGCTACTCAGCGGCCCTCGATCCTCCACCGGGAGTCTCTCCTCCGTCAAGTCCGCTACTCCTCGGACGCAGCATCCCAGACCAAAGAAGCAGCCAAGGAGACCACCGCACAGGTCACAGAAACCGTGAGGGAAGCCCCCAAGAAGACCGGCCGCAAGCTCAAGCGCACCATCTGGGGCACCTCCCTGGCCCTGACTCTCCTCGCCGGATTCATCTACGGAACGGACACCCGCGCCAGCGTGCACCGGTACGGCGTGGTCCCTCTCGTCCGTCTGCTCTTCCCCGACGCCGAAGATGCGCACCACTTCGGCGTGGACATCCTGAAGACCCTCTACAAGTACGGTCTGAACCCGCGCGAGCGCGGCGACCCCGACAGTGATGGCGCTCTCCTGACTGAGGTATACTCCCTCCTCCCCCCTTCCCAACCTCACCCCCCATACTCACCCACCACCGCAGGTCTTCGGCTACACCCTCTCCAACCCCATCGGCATCTCCGGCGGTCTCGACAAGCACGCCGACATCCCCGACCCTCTATTCGAACTCGGCCCCGCCATCGTCGAAGTCGGCGGCACCACTCCCCTCCCCCAAGAAGGCAACCCCCGCCCACGTGTCTTCCGCCTCCCGTCCCAGAACGCCATGATCAACCGCTACGGCCTCAACTCCAAGGGCGCCGACCACATGGCGGCAGTCCTTGAACAGCGCGTGCGCGACTACGCCTACGCGCACGGGTTCGGCGAGCACGAACTAGCCGAACAACGGGTCCTGAACGGCGAAGCCGGCGTCCCGCCCGGAAGTCTCCGCGAAGGCAAGCTGCTCGCCGTGCAAGTCGCCAAGAACAAGCTCACGCCGGACAATGACATCGAAGCCATCAAGCGCGACTACGTCTACTGCGTTGACCGTCTCGCCAAGTACGCCGATATCCTGGTCGTCAACGTCTCCAGCCCTAACACCCCTGGTCTTCGCGACTTGCAAGCCACGGCGCCTCTCACTGCTATCCTGAAGGCCGTTGTCGGCGCAGCAAAGAGCATCGACCGCAAGACCAAGCCCTTCGTCATGGTCAAGGTTAGTCCTGACGAGGACGCAGACGAGCAGGTCTCCGGTATCTGTGACGCGGTGTGGGGGTCCGGTGTTGATGGTGTGATCGTGGGTAACACGACAAATCGGCGTCCGGAGCCGCTTCCTAAGGGTTTTACTCTGCCCAGCAAGGAGCAGGATGTCCTGAAGGAGACGGGCGGGTTCTCTGGGCCGCAGTTGTTTGATCGTACGGTGAAGCTGGTGGCGAAGTATAAGAATTTGTTGGATGCTAGTGCTCCTGCTTCTGCTGCTGCTGCTGCTGCTGCTGCTGCTGCTGTGCCTAAGGCGATTGAGGCGGCCGAGCCGGATGTGGAGAATGTGCCTCCTACTGTGAGTGAGGCTGTCGAGGGATTGCCTGCTAGGAAGGTTATCTTTGCGTCTGGGGGTGTGACGAATGGGGAGCAGGCGAGGAAGGTCCTTGATGCGGGAGCTTCGGTTGCGATGATGTATACGGCTATTACGTATGGAGGGTTGGGGACGGTGACGAGGGTGAAGGAGGAGATGAAGGAGAAGAAGTAGAGGGATAAATTCAGGTAAGTTGCTAGCTAGATGTGTGGATTTTAAAAAGGAGCGACCGGGTTGATTCATGGGATGGGTGGTTGTTTAGTAGGTAGGCGTAGATTAGGGAGGACGTGATATTGTAAATAGAAGAATAAGAGTATTTTTATATTTGTATTGCTATTGACTTTAGATAGTTTCATGGAGCCTTCTTAGTTTTGGGTAATTATGGCAGAGTATCGAAATATACTGTCAAGAGGGAAGCTTGTTCGGGTTATCTGAAGGTAGGTAAAGAAAATGGTTTGCTGTAACTGTTCCTATTAGTCCATCAATGTTGCAAGTCAGTAGGAGTAGGGTAAATCCTCCAGATGAACGATAGCTTCAACTGTCGATAAGGGTTAGTCACTATAGTTAGTATTTCTGAGCAAATACCTAGCTACTGCTGCTACTGCTGCTGCTACTGCAACAGGCTAGCTCCTTGACAAGGTAGCTATGCAGCGAGGGACGTGAACGACCATGTGCCTCGATAATCTGCCAACAATTAGTGCCTCTACCCTGAGGCACATCAATGCCACATCATCATCATCATCATCATCATCATCATCCTCTTCATTGTAACCCAGCAGCCATGAACAACACACCAAGCCCCTGACCCCTAAACCCTCACCGAAAATAGCTCACCTTCAGCCCCTCCCAGAATCTAGACCAAGCTCACACACGTTGCTTGCCAATTCAAGCTTCCCGAATAAAATTAGATTTAAACTACCGACCGGGTTGGCAGTAAGCGATCAGATAAAGTGGGCCCCCTGGTCGGGTCAGGTGGCCGCAACTGTCACACGTGCAGCGGAATGGAGGGGAAGACAAGCTGGTCATGCAGCCCGCCGAAATTTTCTTCAACCTCACGCGGACTCGAGCGGGCAGGAATCCATCCGGGCCCAGATCGCTGGGAGCGGAGATCCCGCAAGCTTCGAGAAGCTCTTCACCGACTCGGCTGTGATCCACAGTCATCCATGAATCCATCCCACTCGGGAGATGGATCAAGTCGGCATTGCCTGTTTCGAGATCCCATTCCTCCATGGAAGGAAATGAAGGCTTAAACGATGGATACTGCTCGGGTTTGCCTGAACAGGATACCCGACGATGGTGGATATCACACAAAGGTCTTGGAAAGGGGCTGCTAGCAGTCTAAAATTTTCTGTTCTTCCGCGTGATGCCCATTCTTCCCCCACATCTAGCAGTAATAGACACTAGTAGTGTGGTTCATGATGTACTATGTTTGGTCTTGTGTTTTGGTATCGTCCGAGAGCGTAACCCGAGTCTGCATCTGCCGGAGCAGCAGGCCGACGATCAGGCCAACGTTTCTTCAACCTCCCTGACCACCTTGCGGACCCCGTCGACTTCGTGGGCGAATCGGCCCAGGAACATGCCGTCGACGGCCTTCCCCAGACCGCCCGGGCCCCACAGCCCCGGTCCGGCACTTCCCCCGTACAAGATCCGGACGTCCCCCACGCGGGTGCCAATCACCGCCTTGATGCCCTCGACCACCGCCGATATGTGATCTACACCCGCCGGAGCGGGCTTCCCAATTGCCCATACTGGTTCGTATGCAAAGATGACTGGCGCATCCGCCGGGATGGCCTGGAGGACAGCCCGGATCTGGACTTCGCATTCGCTGACGGCCTGCCCAATGGCTTGCGAGGCTACGGGGCCGGGAGCGGTGACCTCTCCAATGCAAACCAGCGGAACCATACCTTGTGCGCATGCAGCGGCAGCTTTGAGGCCAGTCTGGTCATCTGTCTCACCAAAGATGGCGCGACGTTCTGCGTGGCCAAGTTCGACAATGGACACCCCCATCGAGCGGAGCGCCAGCGGCGAGACCTCTCCGGTGTAGGCGCCGAGGGGCTCCCAGAAGCAATCTTGAGCTCCAAGCAGGAATGGAGCCGGCAGTGAAGAAGTGTCATCCTTCGGTAGAGTGGATTCCCACGCCTTGATAATCTCCGCACAGGGATAGACAGTCAGGAAGTCGGGGATGAGGGCCAGCAACAGCTTGGAGCGATTCTCCGGGCGGACAATATCATTTTTGGGGTCGAGCAGGGCCCGGCAGTAGTCGAGCGTACGGGTGGGTGTGAAGTACATCTTCAACGAGATGATGAGCAGGTTCTTTGGGAGAACCGGATAGGCTTGCTGGGACGCCATGTTGGGTGATTTCAGGCACCGGTGTGATGAAGGGATGGAACCGGTGAATGACGGTCTTCGAAAGTGATTTCCGTAGCAATCAGAACACGATCAACCGGTCTCCGCTGGTATGGACTGGCCAACGAGGTTAGTTGTCTGAAACCTGAGACTACTAAGCTCCACTATGATAATGAGGGCACCCACTCGAGCGTAGAGTAGTGTGTTGATGGGGTAGGATATTGTGTGATAGCTGCTGGGTCTGAGATTCGATCGAAAGCGTTAGAATTGAGAGAGGCTGGATTAGCGTAACAGAAATAGCTCAGGAGGAGACAAGGGAGGGTAAAGAGGGGCGGTGCCAATCAGTCGACCACGGAATTAGTAGCCATGCTGTGCCGCGGACAATTTCATTGGGGCCTAGTTTAGCATGCAACCGGTATCCCCTTCACAGTTTAGTGTTGGGAGGGAAAAAGAGGAGACACGATGATCGGCCCACGCGAGGTGCATCTCCATCCAGTGATGTCAGAACAGCCATGGGAAACCTGGGGAATGGCGGGTGATTAGTGTGGTGTTTTAAGAACCTTGATATTTTAGATGTTGTCAGGAAGGGGTAAATTAACAGTAGGGGAGCAAGAAAGTACGAGGGGTGCAAGCCACTCTGCACATTAGAGAGAGGCTTGTAATGAGAAGGTGGGAATAACACGAGTCGGAAGAGGGAAACCAAAACACACGCAAGAATCTCGGCTTGCAGGACAGCAGAGCCTGCCTGATTGAGACATAGAATGGAAAGATACAGAATCGACCGGAAATGAAGTTGTCCCCAAAGACAGCTTCCGACTGGTCCGCTTAGACCTCATCGGTTTCCGTGATACAGTAAGTTACCCGGGGGTCTCTGGATCCCCTGGAAACGGTATGACTTGTCACTTTCCATCGATCGGACGTCAGCGGGCCACCAATGGTAACTAAAGTCCTATCAGAAGCCAGTAAAACACTAGTCGAGTGGGGATGGTGGGAAGTGGTGGGGCGTGCAGTTGTAACCTCGTTTGGAATTCCGAGAGCCCAGCCTGGACTGTTTTGAGTATCTTGCAAAGAACAACATTACTCGAGGTATGTATGGTCTGTATTAATCGCTCAAAAGAGACAACCTTTGGGGGTTGATTGTGGTGTGTGGATGGTGAGAGAACAAGGCAGAGCAACAGCCAAAAATTGGTGAATCTCAAGTTTGGACGTTGGAACGCGTCAATGGCGCAAACTGAACTACCACCATTTGAAAGTCAACCAGCCTAATTGCACTTACTTACTTGGGAGGAATTAGTTCTACTTCCTTCCCGTGAACTGAGTGGTTTGGATTAGACTATCTGTAACGGGCTAACAACCATGCGCTCTGATACGGATGGGATCCTCCACTTGCTGTTCGCTGCCTGCCGTGGCCCATCGACCCCAGAATAATCCTGCGACAACAACGGCATGGTTTGTATACAAGATGGTAGAAAGGCTGAGATTGAGCCTCCTACGGGCATGCCACATGAGCCATTCTCAGACCAACGGACTTTATCCTTTGACTTGTTATTCTGGTGACAATGGGACTATACATGCCGTTGCTGTTGCTGTGTGTTTAGTATCCTATCTTCGTCTAAGATAGTCTACTGTCAATCCCACGTCTTTCACAGAATCGATTGGTACCTCGGAACTAATACGACACCGATGCTATCCCGGATGAGCCCACACTCATTCCCGCCCCCCTCTTCTTCATCTCGGTATACTTCTATGTATTGGGCAGTTGCCCAGAGAAATCTGAATCCGCGCCAAAGAATGCCTGTATAGGCTTCCTGAATAGGCCAAGTAGGCCGATAATAGTGCGCGGGCATGCAGTTCCCCCTCTCCCCCAACCCGGTTAGCTTGGCCGCGGACCTGACCAGTTACCAAACTTCCAAGACATCCAACAAGGGGGGGAAGGATGGAGGAGAATCCCGGGGCAATCTGATGTCGGTTCCGAATGGCGATGCAACAGAACCGAAAGGGAAGAAGAAAAACGAGGAGAACAAAGGGCGGGCTGACATCATTCGGCTGAGCGGGATGGAACTATTCCCGGTGAACTTCACCGTAGAGATTAAGTCGGAAGAGAAAGATATCACAGTAACAGTATTCAGTAGATGATAGTCGGTACTGTAGACAGTCATGCCAGTATGGCTGTCACTGGCTGAAAATCCTCCTAATCTGTCCGAAAGGGTTCGCCAATCCGGACTCAATGCTATTGGTTCCGCTTGCAGGCAGTCGCAGCAAAACAACCTTTGAGAAGTGTAAGAATGCATGACGCCATGAGTGGATCTGCCAGAACCAAACATGGTCCGGCCCAAAACCGGCTTCTCTGGATCGCCTCTAGCTGTGGGGGGTGCGACACTAGTGTCTATCGCTGCTGTCGCGCATGAAGCACGAGAAAAAAGCATGAGGGATAATCAGTGCTGGTTCGTAACGGCCATTGGGACATGCGTGTCGCCAAACCGAATTGGCGTCTACCACCGAACTTTGGGTCCAGGAGGCACGGCACGGCCTTTCTCTCCCCACTGCATCGGACCTTTCGATCGGAAAGTACTTTGGGGAATGGAGGGGAACAATAGGAGGGGAGAGGGAGAAGGAGAGCTGGAGAAAAAAGGTATAAAAAGGTCCTTGTCTTCCATCTTCAACCCTCTCTTTCATCACTATTCCATCATCATTCCTACCTACTTCAAGCCACAGTCACTTGTCTGGGACTTCACGATCCACTCACTACCAATACTTCCCTGAATTCCTCTACTTCCTTCCACACTTTTCACCATGTCTGCCGATCTGAAGCCCCTCCGCATCGTCATGGCCTGCGATGAGGCCGGCCAGCCTTACAAGGAAACCCTGAAGGCTGCTCTTGAGAAGAACCCTCTGGTTGAGTCCATCCAAGATGTTGGCGTCAATTCCACCTCCGACAAGACTGCTTACCCTCACCCGGCTGTCGCTGGTGCCAAACTCATCAAGGAGGGCAAGGCAGACCGTGGTCTCTTCATCTGCGGTACTGGTCTCGGTGTCGCTATCTCCGCCAACAAGGTGCCCGGCATTCGCGCCGTGACAGCACACGACTCCTTCTCCGTCGAGCGCTCCATCCTTAGCAATGACGCCCAGGTGCTCTGCTTTGGCCAGCGCGTTATTGGCATTGAGCTTGCGAAGAAGCTCGCCAACGAGTGGGTGACCTACCGCTTCGACCCCAAGAGTGCCTCTGCCGCCAAGGTGCAGGCCATCTCCGACTACGAGAAGGAACTCGCCGGTACTGCTTAAGTTGGATCTGTCTGTCTGTCAGTCAGTCAACCCAGTCAATCCAGTACTACGATGTTCCTTGTCCGTGCGGCATGACATGAACACCAGCCACACCGAAGTGGCACCGGCAGCGCCATAATCTCCGGCGTGTTACTATAAACTATAGCTTCCTTTCACCACTTATTCTTTGAGCGAAGCGATCTGGTACGGCTGGATCCGGGCCTTTCCCTTCTAATATCCGACGAGTCAACGATACCACGAGTGTACGGAATGATTTGGCCGGCCAATCTTTCATTAGAGCAGTAGGTAGAAAAATATACTACATTGCTCCAAATGTCTTCTATTTTGTAGACGATCGTCTATATCATCACAAGATTCACTGTAGTCAATGAAGTAACTCTACAACAAACCCAGTATGGCAATTGCTAACTCTCTCTCCCCAACATTTGCTGCCCACTCACAACTGCTGACTCATCTGGATTCTGCGGGGATCGATCACCTTCGATTGCTCAACCCACGTCTTTTTCCACTGCACAGGAACAGGCATAAAATCGAACATCAATTGATAAAGATGGAGAACCCAACGTGCCGTCCCGACACCAGGGCTGTGTGGATCACGACTGAAAGCTCACCCGAGCTCATCAATTTCATTCCTGACTGAACCTCCTACAAGGATCTCAGGTCCCAAGAGGGGTAGCTGAACAACAGTACTACTTACCTGAATACTTATACTTGTGGATTGACCAGAATATCCATGCTCTCGCAGCATCAATCCTCCCTTGCCACTATCATCAATCATCCTACCGCATTGAAATCCACTCCACATCCACTATCCGCTAGACAGAACGGATAGAATCCCTAGCACATCCAGTCACCATCTACTTCCCTCAACAACAGTGGAGATCACTGCGCAGCCCCACACATCCGACATCCGAAGCGTTGTTTCTTCGTTCGTTCCTTCGTTCGTTCTTTCCAGCTGACAAAACACAATCGTCACGGAAACAAAAAAGGGGAGAATCCCGTTGTCATTTACAGCACAAATCAGTGTGTGCACAACACATCAGCGCACAGAACACCACACAACACATCACCGCAAACATGGCTCTCGAACTAAAAGAAAAGGGCAACCAGCTCTTTAAAGAAGGCGATTACAATGGCGCCGAGGAGATGTATTCACAAGCGTGAGCATATATCCCACTTACCCCGCTATACACATCCACCACCCCCAATGAAATAAATCTAAGAACTCCTACTAAAAACCAATGGATATCTACAACAATTAGAATCCTCAAGAATCCCAAAGAACCCACCTTCTTCTCCAACCGCGCCCTGACCCGCATCCGACTCGAAAACTGGGCCGGAGTCGAGCACGACGCCCGCGCCGCCATCGATCTCTACGGCGCCAAATCCCCCACCAGTTTGAAATCCTCCTGGTACCTGGCCCAAGCGCTGTTGGGCCTGCAACGGCCTCAGGAAGCATACGACGTAGCCATTGAGGCGTATAAGGCGAGTCTGGCGGCGAAGAACATTCAGACGGAGAATTTGTCGCGGACGGTGTTGCGCGCTAAGCAGGCGATTTGGGCGGCCAAGGAGACGGCGCGGATAAGGGAGTTGGATGAGACGTTGGCGAGTGTGGAGGGGCTGATTGAGGCGGAGGTGGAGAGGGGAGTGTCGGAGTTGAAGGCGCGGTTGGAGAAGGGGGAGATTGGGGAAATTGGGTTTAGGGAGGATGAGAGGGAGATTAGAGAGGATGCTGAACGGAAGGTGCAGAGGGTGAGGGAGGTGTTTGGGATTGCGTCGGAGGGGAAGGTGGCTGAGAGGGTAAGTTCCGAAGTTCCTTTTGCGAGTTGCTGGTGGGTTGTGCTGATGATATGGTGTAGGTTGTACCTGATTATCTGGTGGATGGTATTACATTTGAGATTATGCATGACCCTGTTATCACACCATCGGGGACCAGCTTTGACCGGGTTGGCATCACCAAGTACGTGGAGCAGGCCAAAGTTGATCCTATCACGCGGGTGCCGATGACGGTGAACGATCTTCGGCCGAATTATGCGTTGAAGGCGGCGTGCGAGGAGTTTCTGGATAAGAATGGGTGGGCGGTGGATTGGTAATTGATTGCACAAATAGTATGATTAGCATGGCGTTGGTAGTAGACTACTTGATACCATTAACAGGACATATGCTTGTATACTATGTTTTAGAGTATTACAGTGTATACTAGTTATTCCATATTGTATTGACAGATGATGAATTACTGTACATCTTCCTAGTTGGAAGGCCATCTTCCATTATCCATCTTGATTACCAATTTATCCGTTTTCAGACCTGACATGCGGTGTCAACGCCAGACAGGCAGTATTCGATATTAGTACTTATTTTTAGCATGACTACTCATAACTACTCGAGGTTATCAACACCCATATCCCGAACTACTTCAGTATCGACACTGATAAATACTATATATCTGACGAACAACGCAATATATTCAGCGCCCCACCAACCAACAAGAAACACCCCGTAATCAAGACCTGCGCTCTACAATCCTGCTGTGCACCGATACTCCTTGCTGTGTCGATCGCTTCTTCAATAGTCTCCTTAGTCGAGATTGAACTCGTGCCTCGAGGAACGGTAGCTTTCCATCTCTCAGCGAATAAGGCTAACACGCTGAGATCTGGGAGGGTGATGGGGAGTATATCTATCATTTGATTATATCTTTAGTTAGTGAGAAATAAGATAGAGAAGTTAATCTGATCCTCACCTTTATCCATCTTTTCAGTTCGAGATTTGTCTGCTCGTTCAATGTAAGTAGTGAAGATAACATGATCTGGAAGTGCATCTTGCTCAACAAGAGATTCTGCTAAGCATTCTAGAAGAGCTAGGCCGTCTCGGTCTTTGGAGAAGTGGCTGAATAGCAGGATTCGGTGTCTGTATGGTTTATTTGGGTAAGTTGATTACTTAAGTTTACTTTATTAGGGATACGAATATATCATACTGACTTTCTCTCCGCAGACCTCTTGGTAATATCAGAGAACCACTCCGCCGTTTTCTCAAGACTAAGCGTGTTGTGTGCGCCGTCTACGAACCATTGTGATTGTCCGTCTGGGTCATTGATGATCTCGAATCGTCCGATTAGGCAGATATTTCTCATTGCGGTAGATATGTCCTCTGGCTTGATTACATGGTCGGGTGCTTTGGCTTTCAAGAATGTCCTGGCCAGTTCGAGGGCGAGGGAGCAGTTGAGTCGCTGGACGGGAATCCCCAACACATTACTGTCAGTGGGGAGATTAGGATTCAGCGGGACGATAGTCAATGGTGTCTTCTTCTCCGCGGCACGAGCGTGCAGGACCTCAGAAGGACTATCTTCCTGTGGAACAGATAATGCAGGTGCACCGGGCTTGAAAATCCCCGATTTATGCCATGCAATGGATTCGACTGTAGGGCCGAGTTGGTCAAGATGGTCCAGTCCTAGGGAAGTGATACCGGTGACGACGGGGTTCTGGATGACGTTCGTAGCGTCGAATTCTCCACCATGGTGGACTTCGATTATTGCAGCGTCGACGTTCTCTCGGATGAAGGTGTGGAAAGCGAGCAGGGCGAGAAATTGCAGGTAGCGAGGTGGCTGCTGTGTTGTGGCTGCGTTTTGGATGTTGGTATTCAAAAGCGTATCCCAGACTTCGAAGAAATATTTTGTGAATAGGTTCTCAGTGATGAGGTCGTTGTTGATTTTGATTCTTTCTCGAATGCATTGTATGTGAGGTGATGTGTAGAGACCGATTTTACTGGGGAAGCCGGTTCTCAACCCATGTGCATGTAGGATAGAACGGGTGAATTCGCATGTGCTGCCTTTGCCTTTTGTTCCGGTGACGTGAATTATGTTTAGACGAGATATATCGGTGTCCTGTATCTAGTAAGCAGATGCATTATTTCTGTAGTAAGTTGAGGGCCTACTGAATGTCCGAGAGTCTGTAGCCACTCGCTCATCATATACAGACATGGAATACCTCGCACAGTTGGAGTGACCTTTGCTGGGGTTTTCTCTGTCTGTACAGAAGGATTTGTCCTTGGTCGAGCGCTACGTCTGCGCGTTTCCAGGAGACTGAGGGCATCCTGCTGCGAGATTAGAAGCAGTAAATGACTTATAGATGGCAGACAGCATACCTCATAAGTACGAGCTATTTGGTTCTTGGAATCGACAACAAACATTGGAATGTACTTTTGTTATAAATTGAGGGCTGTTCTTTGACTATGTTAAGCGTATGTCTGAGTTCGCTGATTCATGAAGTCATTCAAAGACTGCTGGGGGTTATCGAGGGTGACGTTGCATCAAGACAAGGCGAGTCCGCGGAGGTTTTACTTAGGAATTCGATCATGATAAAGGAGCTTTATCCGGGCTTTCCTAAGAGAGCTTAGTTAATAATGAGTGAAGTTACGAGCATTGAATGGAGGATCTCTTACATAGCCCGCAGAGCATTTGGCATAGATGATCCATTGCTCGTAGTGACCTTGCTGGGGTACGTCAAAAACATCATTTTCAGCCATGAAGACGGACACAATCAAGACAAGGGATATTGTATGAAAACTACAGTTTCCCCTACAAATTAGCGTAAAGCTCTGATAACAGCAAAGAAGACCTTCAATGCTAAGCTCTATAGCTGATATGCACCAAAGCTCCCATCCATAACATATCCAGAAACCCTGGCACTCAACAGTTGAGCCAACAACATCCCATCAAGTAACCACCAAACCAAATCAACAAATCAGACAATAACCACATAAAAACAAAATCCCATACTATTGCAATGATCAACAAATAGTCAAACAATACTCAGTCGTATAAGTCAATAACTAGTAAGTAGTCACCTGAGAAAGTAATCTAACCAATAACCCGCCGAGTACAGCTCCCCCACCAAATCAACAAATCCCCCCACTTTCCCTCAACTCACTCATTCTTCTTCCCCTCTTCATCCGCCATATTTACCTACTACCCCTCCAACCCCAACTACCAACTTCCTCCAAACCACACTCCATCAACTCCTCCCACCAAACAAACCCATACAGCCAAAATGTCCGTCCCCAACTTCTCCGCCGCCCTCGACGCCTCCATCAAGAAGGAGAAGTTCACCCCCGAGGTCCAGGCCGCCGCTGCCAAGGTCGACAGCTCCGCCTTCTTCGCCGCCATCGAGACCGTCCTTGGTGGTGATGACACCGCCACCGTGGAGGGCGAGCTGGCTGTTGCCCTGAAGAACGCTTTCGAGTTTGCTGTTGCTGTCGTTAAGATGCTGAACTCGGAGCCTGGTAATGAGGATAAGTTGGCGGTGAGTACATCCCCCAAACCCCTCCCCCCCCACCCCTCCATCTATGGATCGATATCTTTGGAGGGAGGGGAATGAATCTGTGAAAGATGAGGTCGAGAGGGTATATGCTAATGTGTTGGTTCTGTGTGTAGCTTTACAAGTACTTCAAGCGCGCCAACAACCAGACTCCTGCTTCTCCTGGCATGTTCGATATCCAGGTATGTCTTTATTTACTTCTATCATCCCTCTTTCCCTCTTTCTTTGTATAAGTGTGAGACTAATATGTCTGGTATGATGGTATAGAGCAAGTACAAGTACAACGCATGGAAGGAAATCAAGGACATCAGCGAGGCCAAGGCCCAGGCCGAGTACATCAAGCAGGTTGACACTCTGATTGGAACGATCGGAACGAGGGAGTAGATTGTTATAATAAACCTACAAGATCATATATGAAAGGGGTATCATGTGGTGGATGCATTGTCTATTAGCAAGATGAGATGAGTTATGAGCTACTTACTACTCAACTAACTTACTGGCTATTGAGCTGCTTGCATAGTCATCGTTGATTTTTGAGATCTAAATATTGGTATGGATGGTATATGGAAAGGATGAGGATAGTATGGGGTTAGCCCTCCCACGTCTGTCCCAGCCAGTCCGGCTCGCTATGACTGGCCGTCGCGCACCAGGGTATATCCGTCTCGCTGTACCTCGTCAACGGTAGGTCGTAGGGCATTCGAAAGCCAACTGTAGTCGTAGTAGGTATTTCCTTTCCATCTGCATTTGCAGCCGCACCTGCAGCCGCAACCGCTTCTGCATCAGGCACATCCCTCCGGAAGCAAGGCACCATCACACTTCTCCCTTCAGCACCAGCACCGGTGACTAACTCCGGCCAAACTACAACCCCTATCTCCCAACTACATATCCTCACCTCTCCGTTGGCATTCACCGCCGCTCCCCACGCCTGCATTGACAAATTTGCCGACGTCACCATCGCCCAATCAATCCGGTCCATCTCCGACGATGAGTACCGGATATACGTCTTGATATGCGGTGCCGCGCGACGGCGCCCTGCTTCTCGTTTCACCTTCGCTTCGTCCTCAGCCACATCTCCAGCCCAATGGCACAGATACGGCCGCATGTACTGCAGCTGCTTTTGTTGTGCGGCGCTCTGCAGCTTCATGTGAATGGAGCCGCCTGAGCCGTAGCCGTTCAAGGAGCGGCGAATCTCGTCGGGTGTAGGGAATATGATCGAGAATCTTGGTTTAGGGTTATTTGATGATGGTGAGAGTGACGCGAAGAAGACGTCTTTGAGCCATTTGTCTGTTTGGCCGAGAGAGGCGACGGAGGAAATCTATACCTCGTTAGTAGGGACCCCAAGGCAGTCCCAGTGGTAAAACAACCTACTTGAGTTACAATATGCGGTCTATCCTCTGAAGGAGAAACAGGCACCGACCGTAATACATCCCTCAGGGCTAGCCACCCCCACAGCGTCTTCCGGGTCGAATCAGTCGACTCCCGGATCTTCTGCTTCGAGGGTACACTAGCGACCAACGCCGCGCGGACAGCGCTGAAGTCGTGTTTCTCTAGCTGCGCGACAAGCGGGCCGGTCTTCTTCGGTCCGTATTCTCTTAGATACGAGAGGAGATCGCGTTTGAATCGCGCCCCAGGGGTAGCTATACTTTCACTCCCACTTCCATTGGAACATAATGGGAGAAGAGGAGATCGCCACACGGCCTGGCACATGTTTGCCCAGTCGCCTGCGATCATGTTTGCTGTGTGGATGACCACTCTGTATTCATTCATTAGCTTCGTTAGACTCATAGATGGAGAATGGGGGTACATACTGAGCCAAATCATCATGTCTCAACAAGATCATCATCTTGGAATGATGCGTCCCGAACGCTTCGGGCATGTAGGCGGTTATTGCCTCGACGTTGGGGTGGCGCGTACATGCTTCCTATTCATATTATTAGCATTGTCGCATTACATGTATACCAATCATATAAGTCATTGAAACCAAGATAATGAAGAAAAGGGACATACATCAATCCTCTGACGATTCGGGGCATCTCTCTTCCACGAGCCATGCACTACCTTCACCTTGACAAGCCGTCTCACATCCTCATCAAACTGGCTCATCAAAAAGTCCACATCAAAGAGGTAGTTGAACTGCCAACATTCGCGGATCAATGGATCGCCGAGAATGTCGCGCAGTCGGACAGTGTCGGTGTTGTGGCCTGAGGAGGCGGGGAGGTCCCGGATGTGGGTTAGTTGGATGGGAGAGGGGAATATATTGTCCTTAGTTTTGTTGCTGTCTTTCTCTTTAGTAGGTGTCTGCGTGCTGGGTGATGCTGGCTGGGTGGCATTGTGTTGCGGTTGTGGCTGAGGCGCTGTTTGTGATCCCTTGGAGCGGGAGAGTATTGGGGGTGTTATGGAGCGGTGCAGGGATGCTAGGGGGTGGTTGTTACTGTCATTGCTGCTGCTGTTGGTCCTTTGGGTAGAGTCATTGCTTGCATAGTCTATGTTGGAGGCTAACTTGGCCCTCTTGGCTGGCCGGTCTGGTTCTTCCATGTTGAGGATGGGATGAAGTGAGAAAGTGGTGAGGGAGATGCGGTGATGGCGGATAGCATACCGGTTACATCTGAGTATCGCTAAACATCATACGCAGAATGCTTGCTTCACAACCACGAAATAATTCAGATCTTTATATAACTATTACTACACTATTATACACTATACACTTTTACAAGTCTACCACATGAACCGCTGGATCTTCCCCGGTTCCTGGGGCCATTCAAACCCGCAGTACAGGAAGATGTATCCCGTCACCGCGTTGATCACCAAGAACCAATACGTCTCCAGGAACAGCGCCATGTTCGTGGCAACCTTCGCATTCAGCTCCTCGGTCGCATCGCGCGCCCGCTGCCGGTGCACGAGAGGCGTCGGCTGCGGTGGCAGATGCAGCCGCCACATCACCCACGGAATGATGAAGTAGCGCGGCTCGACGAGCGGCGCCGTAATGAGCGACAGTGCCGTGGCCGCCAGCCAGACAAGCACAAAGCTCACCTGCGGCGTACCCTGATGCTGCTTCTGCCGGTGCGCAATGTGCTCCTGGATCTTGGCGTACGCATCGAACGACATCGGCTCCGGCTTGGGCGACTGTGCGGGCTTCTTTGCTGCCTTCCGACGTTCGGCCTTCTTCTGGCTGGGCTCTTTCTGGGGTACTGGCACTGGCTCCGGCTGGCGGGCTGCTGTCTGCGGGACACGCATCAACTGGGGAGGCGTAGAAATCGTCGTGAATCCAAAGGCGGAGATGACCATCCACGCACAGAGGAAGTACACCGCGACAGCAGCATACTTAATAGCAGGGTGAATGCGCAGCAGGATACGGAAGACGTAGAAGACATAGTGACGGTTGTCGGCAAGGGTGAAAGGATGGACGATGGTGTTGAAGTGGACCACAGCCAGCATAATGGGGATAACAACAAGAGCCGTCAACAGCTTAGGGAGGCCCTTTTGCTTCTTCGGGAAGCCAAAGTCGATGAACTTGGGCAGAAGCGACTTCGGGAGAACCAAGTTGACGACCGGCGAGAGGAGGAGAGGCCAAGAGAAGAAGACGAAGTAGGGCCAGATGTAGAGCATCTGGGGCAGATGCAGCCCAGCAGTATGGTACTCCTTGTGTCCTGCAGCTGTCAGCCTAGCACTTACAACATGACCAGTAGACCTACCGAGAACGACACCATCATTCCAGAGCACGAAGCCACCAAACCCGGCAAGTATAAGCAAGTACGGAATAGCAGAGCTAATCACCGAGCCGAGGTTGTTCAAGGCAACAACCACCAGCGAAATAGACGCCTTGAAGTAGTCTACTCCAGTCAGCAATACCATCAACACACCACAGAGACCATACTAACCTGCAATCGAAGCGTCCGAAACAAACGGATCATACAGCTCATTCTTCCACCCCGCCCGAGCAATATCGGCGAATCCCGACGCCTCGCATCTCTTAGAAGATAACCTCAACCGCCGGACGATCTGCAGTCCACCCAGGAAGATCGCCACCCAGAAGATGTTGGTCTGTCTGAATACCAGCGCTACCAGCCCCAGCACGACAAACACCAACGTCGAGAGCGGCGCAAATCCACCCTCCGACGAGCGTTTCAGGTCCCAGTTGTACGCCTCAACGACCACCAGCAGCGCAAGAATATCGGTGTAGTATAGGCCGGAGAAGAAGAACAGCGGCGGGAAGAGGCAAATGTTCAAAACAGTATGGCTCAGCCATGCTCCAGAGGGACGTGTGTTGCGCACCCTGCGCAGCCGATCCAACAATGTCTGCAATCGCAACGGTAGAGCTACGGCGGTGGCTGCCACGTTGGTCGCACGCAAAGCTTCCGGGGTAAGCTGTGTGGGGGAACCGCGCAGGAAGAGCGCGATCGCGCACAGCACATACGACCAGAGATAGATTCCCGGGGGAGTGGTAATCTTGGGATCCCAATGCGTCCACTTATGAGCCCAGTAGGCCTGAGCCTGGGGGACATGGAAAGCCTCATCCAGATACGGTTCGGGAACGACGGCATTGATCCTCATCATCCAAAAGGGGATCAACAGGAGAACAAAAGGAATGGCGTAGCGGGCGGCCAAAGCCACGCCCGACTTGGGTTGCGCATTCATGTCGGTCAATGCTTAGGCAGGAGGTCTACCATGCTCTCGACAATTGAAGTGTGAAACAGGAGAAGAAGAATAGATCAAATAATCTAAAGACACAAACGGAAATGCAAGCTTGCAATGCAAACCGAACAAACACACCGCATCGGGCAATCGACGCCCATCGCGATTGAATTTGAATGAACAACTTCAAGCTCCCCTTCTTTCATTCGGTCCGCAAAGTAACTCCGGGGCATGGAATACTCTTCTCCGACTGCCCCGACACGTCCCTAACTCCTTTTCCCCCGGCCAATCCACGCGCAAACGTGAGGGTCAATGGCCTTTCCCCTCCCGCGGGGCATCACGCCCCCGGAGATCTCCTTCCTCGCGGAGATGGAGATGGTCACCATCTTGCCTCGTCAGCGACTCGAGGGGCTTGAATTGCTAGGAGTACGTCTTATACAGATACCCTACCCTACTAATCACAACTAACAGCTCCTCCTCAAATAGGGCCCCGTCTCCCCCCTCCTTCCACCCCGACGCACCTCCCTCCCCCTCTGGCTCGCCCTCCTCCTTAAACGCCAACGCCGCGCCAACATCCTCCCCCCGCCCTGGCTCCACCCCGAATCCCTCGAACTCATCCTCGAAATCGAGACCCAAAACGACGAATACCAGCACGCCTTCTCCCCGCCGCCTCCACTGCCCGGCCAGCCCGCCCCAGGCGATCACCGTCGCGCTCCGCTCGCGACACCGCGCTACACCCCCTCGGGCGAGAAATACTACCCTGCACCGCCGTTTCTGCCTCAGAACACAGCTCGCGATCACATCCCGCCGGGGGAGCCGCCGGCACTACCGTTCCATTGGTTGGAGGTAGGGACGATGTTGCTGGAGGCGGCGAGCGATGATCTAGTGGATCCGGATCAGACGAGACGACTGTTGAAGGAGCTGAGAGAGGTACGGATGGCGAAGGTTAGGGCTGGTGTGGATGTTCTGGATGCGGCGGCTATGGGTGGTGGGGGTGTTGCGTTGACGGGTGTGGGAGCTATGGAGTTGGGAGAGGGGAGGAGGTTCATTGCGGGGGTGGTGGATGAACTGAGGTATACTCTTGCCACTTCCTCTATTCTTTGTTTTAACATGGTTGTGGGCGGATTGCTAACGAGTCATGTTGATAGGCGCATCGGGGCCTCAAAGGAACAGGCCAGGAGAGAAGAGATGGCGGAGGAAATGGCGAATGGAGGGTATGATGGGACGCAAGACGATGATGATGAAATGGAGTTTTAGATGTTTCTGCTCATTCTTTCCCCTCGTTTTTATATTTGCAATGCGTGGGCTGGTTCATTGTTCAGTGTTCATTTCGTGACGGGAGTTATCGGGGTCAAGTCTATATATGTATGGGACATGGCAGGACATGATCATATTGGCATCGCACATACATCAGAACGCATGTATGTATATATACCCTAAATCATTGATTGGAAGTTACTTGGTTGATGGGCCGGGTGTCATGCTAGTAAGCAGGTAGTAGATAGGTAGTAAGTAGTCCTGATCATATCCCCCTATCAAAAACACCAGATGCATGCGACGCTCAGCTTAAGATGAGAGAGAGGAGAGGGAAGATAGTAAGAAAAAAAGACATGACAAGTCAATCTCCGAAAGACAAATGAAAACAACAACAGATATGCCAATAACAATGGATTGAATCTTACACATCCCCAACGCCGGCAACAAGAGGTATATAACAACCCGAAGGAGATCGAAGAAGCACACAAAAGTAATCCAACTGAATACAGAATGAAAGGCATAGATGAAACCCCCCCCCCCCCCCCTTCGCGTAAGCCGTCAATCTGCCTGCCCCTATGACGCGCAATACCGGGGCCCCAGGGAGTTAGTTCCAAGATTTCTAGTCCCCACGAACGATATAGCATGACTAGCTTCATTGAGCAGCCTGATCTTTCTGCATCATCTTCCTCCGCGCCGCCAGAATCATCTCGTCCCTGCGCTTCTGCAGCAAGCGCTGGCGCTCCTCCTTGCTCTGCGACCAGCCCGTAGTGGAAGAAGCCTGCGACGGCGCGGACTCAGCGGCGCTGTTCTCGGCCTCCAGTTTCGCGCGGAGGTTGTATCGGGAAATCAGATCCTGGGCATCGGCCTTGGAGGTTGCCGTTTGGGTAGGTTGTGACTGCACGGGTGCTGTATTGGGGATCGCAATCTGAGGTTGGAAGGATGGGGGCGGCTACATGGTAGGTTCGGTTAGCTGGCCATGCATCTGACTCAATGCGGGGAACGAGAAAGGGGAAGAGAGATGATGAACGACCAGCGGCGCGGGTCTATATGCATCAAAGTGAGATAGGAATGAGGGGAAAGACTCACCACTTCTAGCCCCCGACCGGTCAGGATTCTCTCCGTCGTCGCCGCAACACTACCTCCATTGCGCTGCAAATCCCACATGATCTCACGGGCGCTGAGCTGAGGGAACATCTGGGATATTTGCTCGACTTGGGCTGGGTCGACGGTGCCTCGCGGCCGGCTGCGACTGCTGCCTGGCCCGGCCTCTCCCCCATCGCGGTTAAGGAACCATCGAAGCACGAAAAATGACACCACGGCGAGGGTGAGGAGAGAGGGGATATTCAGGGACGGCTCTTCTTCTGGCATTGTTGTGAGGATCTCTCTGGACGAGGTAGCGGGTATAGGACTGAATGTGGACTGTTGGTTAGGTCAGATGGGGAGTCGCGACTCGAAACTGGCGTATGCGACCGCCTTGGAGTCAACGGAGAAGGAGAGTTTTAGCTCGAAGCCCAAAACAAGGCGGCGTTGAATAGAATGCTGGGGATGATGGAGGAGTGATGCCGCGGCAGTTCGTTTGGGGGGAAAGCGGCGAGGTGGCGGTGGGACAATCGGATCCCGGCCGGATCGGGGCGGGCACGTTGACCACCGACTGCGGCGGTGCTTGAGTTTCGGGGCGATTTGGCCAGGGGAAACAGGTGAGAAAAAAGCAAATAAACTCCCCCCACCAAGAAAAGGGGAAGAAGAACGGCGATTGACTCAACTGAATAGGGTGGCTGAGCACCGAGTAAGGCCGTGTCTTGCTGGCATTCAACTAATGTTGTGGCAGATGATGCCAGCAGTTGGTCGCCCTTTATAGTAGGTTACCAGCACTCCAGCCTCCAACCACTTATTGCATCCTACCGCTGTCTCTACGGAGATCTCCTTGCGTCCGTCATTAACATATCTCATAAGAGTACGGTGTAGAACTGCAGAATCATCCAGAATCATATACATCATCCGAAAACACCCCGTCCCAACCTCCTGGCCTGTCACGTAACGCGCCATGTCCAATGTCCAAACCAAAAGACCCATATGCACCAACGCAATATCGACAAATGAAGAATAACAATCCCAGCTTGAGGTCTACTTCATGTCGGCAGGAGTCAAGGCCTGGACCACACTGGTTCCCTCGCTGAACCTTGTGCGGAAGATCCGGTTGGCATTCTGGAACATGCCGTCCTTCAGCGACACAACGATGAACTGCGATCCCTTGAATCGCGTCTTGATCAACCGACCAATGTTCTGGGTATGCGACAGATCCAAAGCGGCATCAACCTCGTCCAGAATGTACATTGGCGCCGGCTTGAATTGTAGTAGCGCCATAATTAGCGAAAGCGCAATGAGAGACCTAGACAAATGTTAGCTCGTAGCCAGGAAAGAGTAACCCATCGGAATTTCACGTACCGTTGTCCACCACTCAGCTCGGTTAAACTCTGCTTCCAGACCTTGCCCAGAGACACCTTGACTTCCAGACCTTCAGTGATATCCTTACCCTCAGGGGGTTCCAGCTTGGCAAAACTGCCGGGTAGCAGGTCGTTGAAGATCTGTCCAAAGTCGGCTGTGACCTTAGTCCATGTTTTGTGGAGGGCCTCCTTCTTGTACTCGTTCAAGTTGATGATGGTCTCCTCGATCTTGCTCTTGTCACGAATGACGGTCTTCATCATGTTCTTCAGGGCAGCCTCCTTCTTCTCGACACTGTCGATCATGTTCATCACCTTGGGGTTGATCTTCTTCTTCATGCCCTGGAATCGCTCCGTCAGGTTGCGCAGCGTCGACTTGCACTCGGCGATATTCTGGTTCTTGAAATCATATGCCGTGTTGGACCGTCCGAAGTTATCCTTCTCATCAGCGATCCATTCATGCTCCTCCTCCATATGAGCCACCGTCTGCGCCGCAGCTTGTTGCTCCTTCTGCAGTTTCTCCAGCTGGTGTCCCAGCTTCTGGACTTCCAAGCCCTCTTCCGTAAGTTGAGAGTTCTTCGACTGCTTCGTCCGCTCGAGTTCACGCAACTCATCATCAAAACCGGTCAGCTTGGCCCTTTCATCCTCCAGGTGAGCCTGGGCAATATCATGGGCGTCCTATAGATCATTAGCAGATGGTATTAAGCCGTGACTGGAGATTCCTACCTTGATCCGAGCCTGTTCTCTCTTCAGCGACTGGATTTCTTCCATCTGAGCCTTGAGGGTGTTTTCGGCCTCGGCGTTTTGTTCCTCGGCCGCCGACAGATCACCGCCAACTTGCTCCAGCTCTAACCGGGAGTTCTGAAGCTCTTTCTGCAGGGTCTTGACCGAGTTGGAGTTCTTGGCCAGACTCTTCTTCAGGGAGTCCAGGGAAGACTGCAGTTCCGCAAGTTTGCTGTCCTTGTTGTCGTTGAACTCACTCATATCCTTCTCGATGCGCTTGATATCCTTGGATGCTTCGCTCTGGCGAGTCTTCGCATCAGAGATGTCCTTCTTCAGCTGCTCGATGTTCGCTTTCATCTCTTCTACGGCGTGAATGATCTGTTTCCGTCAGTTATACGTCTAGGAAACATGGAAGTGGGACTTACCGAGGAAGACGAGTTGCTGCTGATCTGCTCCTCCGTGAGCTTGATCTCGTGGGTCTTAAGGTCCAGCTCTTGCTTGATTGTACGAGCAGCATCCAGCTTCTTCTTCTCCTTCCTCATTGTTTCCTCCACAGTAGCCAGCTGTCGCTCCTTGCTCCGGATCTCCCGAGTAATCTCATTGAACTTCTGCAGGGTGACAAGCACACCGCTCGTGTTAGGGGCACTACCTCCGGACAGAGTACCGGATGGGTCGTAGACATCACCCTCGAGCGTTACACTCTTTATCCGAACGGAAGGGTCAAACGTGACCCGCTTGGCTGTGTCGGCATCATTGCAAATCAGGGTGTTACCGAAGACGTAGTTCATTGCCGAAGTAACTTCCTCGTCATAGCCGATGAGCGACAAGGCAAGATCAACCTTGCCAGGAGCAATCCTCTGTGCTGCTCCAATCTTCTCTGCCGAGGCAACAAATGAGGATATCTTGTTGAGGGGGATGATGGTCACACGCTTCTTCAGTCTTCCCTTCTGAAGCAGCTGGGTACCGGTTTCAGCGGTGTCGACAACAACGTTGTACAGACGGCCACCCGCGCAGATCTCCAATGCTGTAGCGGCTTGGAGCTTCTCCTTGTCAAGACTAAAGAGCTGCGCAACCAGACCTTTGACTTTAGAACGATCGAAGTGAGGATGGGGGTCACTGTAGTTGAAATCGACATTTGCAACCTTCCTCTGGAGGCCGTCTGCTCTCTGACGCAGCTCACGGATCTCTTTTTGAAGTTCGGTCTGCTGCTGGTATAGCTCCTCCTCGCGACCCGGCTCAAATCCTAGCCTAGAAAGTTCTGAATCAAGCTTCTTGGCTTGCGACTTCAGTCCCTCCAATTCTTTCAGGAGACCGGAGTTCTGTTCCTTGGCCTTCTTCGCGCGCGGCTCCTCTTCCTTGATCCTCTTCTCCAAGTTCGCGATCTTGAGCTTGGCCTGCTCTTGTTCAGTGGCGGCCGTGTTGGCACGGTTACGAGCGTCCTGGAGCTGGCCCTGGTAACCACTTTCCTGGCCTTCCTTGGAAGCGACACCAGTCTGCAGGGTCTGGAGCAATTCTTCCTTCTGCTCCACTTCAGCTGTCTGGGCGTCAAGCTCTGCTTTAGCGGCATCATACTGGGCCTGAAGCTTATCGTAGACCTTCTGCTTCTCCTTGAGGACCTTCTCCAGGTCCGTCACGGTTCTCTGGACTTCCTTCCTCTTTTCTTTCTCTTCAGCAATGCTGGCATTCTTGAGATCGAAAACGGTGGTCAAACGAACAAGTTCATGCGAGTGGGACTTGACCTCATCCTCCAGAGCCTGAAATTTACCACCCTTCCGCAGTTCCTTATCGCGGGCTGCTCTGACCCGCTTCATATCCTCCTCGAGGTGAGCAATTTCGCTCTTCAGCTTGGCCGCATTGTCTTCCAGCGCCTGTACCTTGTTCCTCTTTTGCTCGCATTCTTCTCCGGAAACCCGTAACCTCTCGTTGCCCCTGAGGTAGTCGTGGGCAACCACCAAGCGAGTTAAGCGCTCCAAGTCATTCTGGGTCTGTTGGAAGTCGAGGAAAGCGCGCTTTTCGGATCGCAGCTTCTCAAGCTTGGGCTCGATTTCTTCCTTAAGAAGCTCTTCAATTTCGCGCAACTTGAGCTCTTTCTTGCCCATTGTCTTCACAGCCTTTTCCCTCCTATCCTCAAACATCCGTGTACCGGCCGCTTCCTCGATCATGGACAGAATTTCAACGGGTTTCATATTCAGGACTTTCGTAATGCGACCTTGCATAATCAAGAAATTGGGATTGTTGATATTCAGCTGCACACTCTGGAAGAGGTTTTGCACAGTCTGCTGCTGCGCACGGTGTCCGTTGATGAGGTACTTGCTCGTGCCTCCAAGAACAATCTGCCGAGTCACCGAGATGGTCGCATATTCCTCGAATCCGATCGGAGATTTCGCGGTGTCGCGGTTATCGAAGACAATCGTCACACTGGCCTTGGTCACACCGGCTTGACCACGTTTGTAGATGAGATCCTGCAAGTTCTGCGCGCGAACAGTGGACATGTTCGTGATACCGAGGACGAAACAGATGGCATCGAGAATGTTCGATTTACCACTACCGTTGAGACCGGTGATGGAGTTGAAGGATTCGTCCCTATGTAAGAGATGTTAGGTCTGTCATCATCAAGCAAATTGCACAGTAGAAGGCGTCTCAATCCGCGCATACCATCCCGAGATCACCGTACGCACGGCGTACGATTTGAAGCCCTGTGTTGACAGTCAGCGATCGCACATTCTCCGGGCAGCGGAGAACATGAACTTACGTCAATAATAATCTCCGTGATCCTCATTGTTGCGACTCTGATCCAGCCCCATGAACTAGACGATCAGGTGCATGGGAGGGGGGACCGAGAGAACAGTTGCGGGATTGATTGACGTCTGGGGAGCGATTTTGCGGGCGGTGTTTTGCCGTCGGGGCCCAGCGCTGTTTACGGTTTGCTCTTTCGGGGTTGGTGCGCGCTATCGTGATAATGTAATCATGGAGGGGTTACACGTGATAATAGGTAAGGTTGTCAGTTAGAAGGTCACTTTAGTTTATGTAGCTCTAAGAGTGGCTTTCTTTCAACAACCGGTCTCGGTGGCGCAATTGGTAAGCTTACCCTTCATCACTACATCAGACCCAATCAGTCACTAATTCAGCATTAAAGGTTAGCGCGTACGACTGTTAATCGTGAGGTTGAGAGTTCGATCCTCTCCCGGGACGCATCTTTTTTCTTTTTCTCTTTTTGCTTGGACAGCATAGCCGGCGCAAAGTCCAGTGGAACCATGGCTCATCCTGCTCTTTCTTTTTGTTCTACATGTATGGACAAAGAGTCGTTACCAACTTTATATCAAACTTGGACATGGAACTCCTCAGTATCATTGGGCGTCTGCTTTCCGTGCATGGGCTCATTGTATGGTATACGTCGTGATTGTAATGTAGTTCGCTATCCGCAAATGCGACGGACAAATTGTATACAGTGTTTACTCTGAAAGTGCGTATTTGTATTAGATAGGTGTACCCTTACTGGGTAACTATACTTGCACTAGAAGTTCAGCAACACAACCGACAGGATCCCTCAATCCTCGGGAATCCAGGAACTACGAAAGGAAATATCAGGACTCACCGCGATAGGATGCGATCTTCGCAACGGCATGTCTACAAGCCAGACGTCACAGGTTAACGCCTGCGCGGGAAGAAGTTGGGCATCACTTGCAACATCATCATCGATGGTATCTTCTTCAACGATGGCAATCTGGGCGGAGCCGGGTCTATCAGGGATAAGACTAGACACCAATATAGCGCCCCAAATGCTATCAAACTTCTGCAACATCCAATCCAGCTCCAGCAAATCGTCGACAACTGCCTTGGGACTCCAGGGCGAGATGGAGAACATCCGAATTGAAGGAGATAGGACAGCACCGCGCAACACCGTCAAAGTTATCGTGGAGCGAGACCAAAATGTGAAGCTACTCCGGGAACGATCAGGATCGCTGCAGGCTCTCCCGAGAGTGAAGCTTCAGCGAGAAAAATTGTTTCCTATCAGAATGGATGCAGTCCGGAAAACCGGCATGTTTGATGATCTGGGAGAAGAAGAGCGACATTTAGGAAAATCTCGCGTCAATGGCGGTCTATCTGGCGAAGGGAGGCCATAGCACTCCTAAGACGCAGACTGGTCTATGTCAGTGGCGAAGTCTTTCAAGACCAGCTCTGACCAGTCCGCCGCCACAACTGCCAACATTATGGACATCAAGCAGCCAGATGAAGTCGCAATCGCATACTGCACATAGTTCCGCTTCTCCGTATACTCCGGGTCCCTCCGGGACCCCGCCAACAAAGCACACTTTTCCTTCCTGGTAACCAAGATTTGTCATTTCGCGCATACCCCAGCGCTGATAATGCGGAAACGCGGGCAATTGGTAATATGGAGCTTCTGGAACGGTTTCAACTTGCAACCTACAGTCAAACCACATACCTAATTGGGTTAGATTAGCCCTATACAGGAACAGCGCATAGAACAGTCTCAGTCTCTCGCTATTCCTAATGACGTGCTTCCAAACCTTTGTCGATTTTGCCCTTTCATGAGCGTGAAATCTTGTTGGTTTTTTCGTGCAATAACCCTGCCAAATCTGTGATGGACTCATTCAATCGTGGAGTGTTCAGAGCGTTGCGAATTGCTGATTCCTATAGTGCCATTTTTCATGATTTATCTGAGGATCCGCTAATCAGATCGCTATAGAGATTAATCGGTTTTGATAGTCAATTCGTTCAGGTGTTCTAGGCTCATGACAAATATACGATCGATGTTCTACCGCCTCGCTATCTTTTCTAATTTGGGGCTGAATATGTGGGGAACATGCTTTGAAACAGTTGGGAGTTGAAGGCTGCCGAAACCTTCTAATGACAAAGCATCATTACACTCATTCCAGTGGCCTGTTAGATCAATATCAGCATGCAGCTCCTGTCAGGCCGGCAAATACCCGGACATGCGGCCCTCGGCTGCCCATGTTTTTGATATTTGGAATTGTCCCGAATGGGGCTTTCTTGCGAGGTTCGATGCCATAATTATGTGCTCACAATTATGTGGATTGGGTAGTATATAAGGAGATTGAGAACATATTCTTTGAAAGACAATTCTGAAGGAATCCAAATCAGCTCGTATCCTCGCTCCTCGCCCCTCGCCTTTATCGATTAGCCCAACAACAACCATGAAGACCCTTACTTCTGCCTTGCTCGGTGCTGCTGCATTGGCACAGAACGTCAATTCCTCTCCTCTTTCGGGTGCTGCTGGACTTGAATTCCCCAATGTGACCGGGTTGGCGAATCCTACTGTTCACGTTTCCAACGGCGGATCAGCCCATTGCGTCTCCGGCACCGTTAAAGTCAACGCGACTACCGACAAAAACCTCAAGTTCGCGTACAACTTGCCCTCTAACCAGTCGCAAGTAACCCAGACACTCGTCAGCCTGTGGTCGTCAGGCGGGGATGGCTACCTGAAATCCCTCACGAGCGGCACCCAACGGGTCAGCGGCAGCTACGATATCGAGGCGACATATTGTCTGCCTGCAGGCGAAACCTCAAAGACAACCAAGGTTCAAATCCTCACGCACGGTATTGGCGTGGACCGCCACTACTGGGACTTTGCCTCGGGATACAGCTACGTCGACACCGCCGCGGCCGCAGGGTATGCCACATTCCTGTACAACCGTCTCGGCGTTGGCGCATCGTCAAAGGAAGACCCATTGAATGTCGTGCAATCGCCACTCGAGCTGGAGATCCTCAAGACGCTGGCAAGCAAACTTCGCCAAGGTACCCTTGGTGACCGCGCCTTTTCGACTGTCGTGGGTGTAGGCCACTCGTTTGGGAGCATCCTGACCCAGGGTGTCACCGCGGCTTACCCCAAGACCCTCGACGCCGCAGTGCTGACGGGATTTGCACTCGATTCGAACGGTCTGCCTGGTTTTGGCCTCGGTCTTAATGCAGCAATTGCCTCAGAAACCCAGCCGTACCGCTTCAGTGGACTCTCTGCTGGATACCTTGTCGCTGGGACATCCGTGTCGAATCAGATTGCGTTTTTCTACGACCCGGGTTTTGACCCCGAAATTCTATCGCTGGCAGATGCCACCAAGGGAAGCTTCACGCTGGGTGAACTTTTCACATTGACCCACGTTGTCAATGCAACAAGCGAATTCCATGGTCCTGTTGCGGTCGTTGCTGGAAATGAAGATTTGCCTTTCTGTAACGGAAACTGCAGTTCTCCGACCAATATTTTGGCTGGTCTTGTGCCTGCGCTGTATCCGGGATTGTCGGAGGCAAATACTGCTACCTATGTGGCTCCTGTTGCAGGTCACGCCTTGAACTTGCATTATGCGGCACCAGGTGCTTTTGACTTCATTCAGGATTTTCTCAAGAAGCACAATGTGTGAGTGTCGAAAATCGAGGTTTCATACAACTATATAGATCTTTTTCAGACTGACTATATTTACTCGTTCACCTGCTTGTCAAACTTGATGTACATTATCTCGGTGCCACTGACATTACGCGTGCATTGTATATTAATTCACATACATGTACCAGACAATGCCATTCAATATCTTTATCACTAAACTTACTTCATACTCTGTGTCCTAGAAAAGGATCGTTCAGTAGACCACGATGGATTTTATAGGTTTGGCAGAAATTATGTTCGAACCAATGACTTGATTGATGGGCTTGACTACGTACGTGGATAGCTAACTCCACCTTTGTGATCATCTGGAACATCATCACATATTCTCGGTCCCTTGAGTACCGGGGTGTGTATCAATTTGCAGTTGTCTGCATTTCTTGGCCCGATTACATGCCTGTGCATTGGTTTCTGTAGCATTTGCATTTGCGGGTAGTAGTATGATATTGTCACATCGCAGCGACGGATATATAGAATCAACCCAATGTATGAGTTCTGAGTCCTAAGAAATGTCGGTCACAGCATATAGCTACAGATATAATACAGTGTCATATCAATTATTGTGTATAAGATTGAGCATATATATATCACATTAATACGCAGTTTGCATCGTATTCAGGCCATGGATCAAACTGTAGGGGATGAACTGGTGGGCGTCATCCAATTTCCATCGCCCTCTGGAATCGAGCATTGACGATGCCTGATCTCGTCGCCGGCACCAACGAGTCGTCTCGGTGGCGCAATTGGTAAGCTTACCCTTCAACAAATTCATCCAATCAATCAGTTACTAATTCAATATAAAGGTTAGCGCGTACGACTGTTAATCGTGAGGTTGAGAGTTCGATCCTCTCCCGGGACGTCCATTCTTTTTTGTACTTTGTTTTTCCAACTCACCATACAGCCCGCGACTATAAAGGATGTGGAGCAGTCACGTCTAGCAGACCTTTGTGGTCGGCTCAGTGGCGACCAGAATTGTTTTTTCTTTTGGTTGACAGAGAGACCTTGAATGCAAGAAAAGCGAACGCTGGCCTGGCAACATTTCATACCTTTGCCACCAACAATTACCCCTATTGCGTCAACAATCAGCTGCAGGTTATGGGAGCCTGGCCGATAGAAAGCCACTCCCATTCATATGCATACACAGTCGCTGGAGCCATAAAATGACCAAACGGCGGCCAACGGAGCGCACGAAAGCGACAAGCATGGGAGACTTTATACATGAGAAGTGATGAACATGGCTATACCGCACGAGGAAAGATCCACCAGAACAGCCATGCCGCCGGCCTAGACCACAGAACTGTGAGGCGAGCTTAGACAGTCACAATGGCAATAACGCCCCATGATTCTTACACGACCCACCCCCCTGCCGATGGCATTGCCACAGTTTCTGGGAGTATAATACATAGTGAGCAACATACCCAGCTACCTGAGATTACAACAGGTCCCACGGAGTACTGTGAGTTGACTACTTGTCAGTGTGGCAAAAGCATTACAGTCAGTTCGATACCATATGATTCCAGAAGCATCAAGAAAATCAGGCTGTGGGCCATAACATGGGATCCCATTCCATTGATCATGCTGCAGCATCCGGCCAGGGCCAGGATAGCATCCGAGAACAATCTTCTCTACTGTTCGTTTCAGTCCAGAGCTGGGATACTCTAGCATACGCTTGAGAAAACAAGATATCGATTATGAGCCACTACGACATGATCAGACACGTTACATGTTTCGATAGGACAATAATCACCCTCTTCTAGAGGTGTATCAGCTGGTGGCGTCATTAGCTGGATCATACTCATTGGGCTGTACCCATTGATAGTACCATAAGTGGACCCCTGCAACAACTGAGTAGTCTCGGTGGCGCAATTGGTAAGCTTTCACATCCGAACTTAATCATATCTCTCAGTTACTAATCCGAATATAGGTTAGCGCGTACGACTGTTAATCGTGAGGTTGAGAGTTCGATCCTCTCCCGGGACGCTTCTTTTTTGCATATTTTTGACCACCTTCCCTACCTTTTGTTTTTCCTTGCTGAGCCGAGTAGTCGACTCATGGGCGAAGGAACAATAAACTATTGATTTGGTAGCCTTACATGATTGTGTGCTGGCAACCTCCATTCAACAGAACGCTACTCTCGTGTTATACTACTAACATATCGGACGAATCGCAAGTTCGAGTCGTATTCAATAGAGGGATATGGGAGTTTCTCTTCTCCCTTGCTAGTCCAATTTTTTACATAGTTCATGTGGTTATAAGTTATATCCTGCAACTATTCATGTGCCACGTCAGGGTAACGATAACAGTTTCGAATGTACTATTTGATGCCCATGACAGAGATGTTGTCGACCAGATGCAAATGCCAGATATCATCACATCTGCAGTACCTTGGCAGTACACCGTCTAATAACAGCAATCTAGGCTCTCCATCAGATTCGAATTAAGAGGGACACCCTCCTCAGTACATGGTAATATGAACGTCATTCTGCACGATCCGGGACGCCAATTCCGAGTTCTGGTTTGATGGCATAATGAGAGGAAGAGAATATACCCAGGGTGCCTCTTACATATCCATTTTACCAATACAATACAAGCCAGGGAGGAACTTGTTGTACATCTACAGCGGATGCCAGACCCGGTGCGGACTTTAAGCCACCACTACATACTACTACTACTATGCAGTCATTCTTATATCCCACACAACATTACGAA